ATTCATGAACTCTCGTAATAACTTGTATTATCTCAAATGGCATACTGCAAACTAAAACTCACCTCAGTGTATCTGCATGAACATAGTCACCCTTCACATTTTTCTCAAGTTCTGCAAGTTTACACAATGCTGATACAGTTAAAGCCTATGCTTTATTATTAGTATTGTGTCTTGATGTGTAGCTTAGGCTGGCCTCCAAATCATGTTTCTCCTGCTTTAGCCTCTTGATGTGGGTGGGTGTCAACATTCCTTGTCTGACTGACATCAGGATAAGCCTTGGTAAACTCTTCCACAACTCAAACAGCCAATGTTGGCAGAAAATATGTGGTCATTAACTCAATATCTTCTATTTATTTTGATAATTCTATAAACTGTGATGAGTCACATTTGTGTATTTATCCTAAACACTTTTAATCACTGCTGCCATGATACACAGGTGATTGGAGATCACAGATATTTGCGGTAAGTATATCATGGTGGAACAAATTAAAAAGGGAAACAGTATTAAGAAATCCAGATTTCTGATAGAACATTGTCTTGATAGAAAGTTTTCTTATCGCCGGGCGATGGTGGCACACGCCTTTAATCCCAGCACTCGGGAGGCAGAGGCAGGCGGATCTCTGTGAGTTCGAGACCAGCCTGGTCTACAGAGCTAGTTCCAGGACAGGCTCCAAAGCCACAGAGAAACCCTGTCTCGAAAAACAAAACAAAACAAAAAAAAAAAAGAAAGTTTTCTTATCTATCTGAAAGTGACAATCGTGCAAACAAATCTTAAAATGTTGATAGCATGATTTTGATTTGTCTCACTTTGAAATGCTGGGACCACAGAGAGGCACTGCACTGCTAGGCTAAGAGCTCTTACCTGAGATCATTTTTTTGTTAAGGTTGCTGATGAGTGAAGGTATTTTTATGTAAAATTGTGCATAATATGAGACACAGCACACCCAAGTATCAACTGAGTAGTACCTCTTACCCTGCATCCATCCATCCATCCATCCATCCATCCATCCATCCATCCATGGCTATGTAACCCTGACTGGGCTGATGTGGAACTCAGTATGTAGATCATGCTGGTCTCATTCTGATCCAGTCTGCCTGCTTCTGCCTCCGAGGGCTGGGATTAAAGATATACACCACTAATGCCCAGCCTCAGTACCTCTTACTGTTTTTTTTTTAAATAAAGATTTATGTATTCTGTATACAGTGTTCTGCTTGCCTGCATACCTGCATGTCAGAAAAAGGCACCAGATCTCATTAGAGGTACCTGGGAGGCACCAAGTGGTTGCTGGGAATTGAACTCAGGACCTCTGTAAGAATTACCAGTACTCTTAACCTCTGAGCCATCTCTCCAGTCCCTCTTTCTGGTTTTTAATAATAACTTTATTTTTTGAAATTATACTCCTATCTATCATTTTCTGCATTTCCCTTTTCTCCCTCCAACTTGTCCCGTGCAGTCTCTGTTTTCTCTCAAATTCATGGCCTCTTTTTCTTTAATTGTTACATACATACATATGTGCATATGTATGTGTATTCCTAAATACATAAATATGGATTGCTAAGTATGTATATGATCTCAGGGCTTATCACTTGGTATTGGATAACTAATTGGTGCTCCACATCCTCTGAAAATCATCTTAATTTCTGAAGTCATTGGTTGAGGCTAATTTCTTCAGTTATTTATTTTTTACCTAAGGGCAACTTTTTATGTTAAAATCCATTTTCTGAAAAATTATTTGTGTAATTTATTATTTCAAAGTTTTTTAAAAAATATTTATTTATTTATTTTGTATACAATAGTCTATCTGTATGTATGTCTGCAGGCCAGAAGAGGGCACCAGACCTCATTACAGATGGTTGTGAGCCATCATGTGGTTGCTGGGGATTGAACTCATGACCTTTGGAAGAGCAGGCAATGCTCTTAACCACTGAGCCATCTCTCCAGCCCCCCCTCCCTTTTTTTTTTGAGGCAGGGTTTCTTTGTGTAACATCCCTGGCTGTCCTAGAATGTGCTCTGTAGACCAGGCTGACTTGAACTCACAGAGATCCACCTATCTCTACCTTCCAAATGCTGGGATTAAAGGCATGCGCCACCACTGCCTGGCTCAAGAAGTTTTTTATACATTTTATGTTTTTTTTTTATTGTAATTACTGTTCTTTACTTTGTGATAAGCCACCTTTAATATATTTATTTTTCTTCTAATCTCTACTTGATTTATGTCTCAATAGTATATCTTTATCTGAATATTAAAATTCCCCCCATTCTGAAAAAATTTTTAAGTAGGCTTAGCATAGTGACATACACCTTTAATCCAGCACTTGGGAGGTAGAGGCAGGTAGAGCTCTTGAGTTCAAGGCCAGCTTTGTCTACAAAGCTGTTACTAGGACAGCCAAGGCTACACAGAGAATCCCTGTTTTGAAAAAACAAATTTCTCCCCATTCTTTTTGTGTGTTTAGTGTATGCATAAATGCACACATATCTATGATTGAGCTTGCCTCTGTGTGCATCAGTATTAGGAGTCTTCCTTTGTTGCTCTTCATCTTAGTTTTTTGAACTTAGAGCTTGCTGTACCTGGCCTAGGGAAGCCCTCAATATTCTCTTATCTCTGCCCACCCCTCTCAGTCCACAGTATTGGGATCATAGTCTCATGCTACCATGCAATTTTTTTTTGTTTTTTGAGACAGGGTTTCTCCGTGGCTTTGGAGCCTGTCCTGGAACTAGCTCTTGTAGACTAGGCTGGCCTCGAACTCACAGAGATCCGCCTACCTCTGCCTTCTGAGTGCTGGGTTTAAAGGCGTGCGCCACCACCGCCTGGACTACCATGCTATTTTTATGCAGATGCTGTCTATGAACTCAGGGTCTCACACTTGAACAGCAAATTTCCACAGCCCCTCTATTCTTAATCTTGGAAATGATTATATTTGATATTTCAGTTTGCTTATCAATCATAATTTACTTAGGTATTCCTGTAACTGGTGCTATCTGCACAACATGCTGATGTAAACATACTACATTTCTCCATTGTTTCCTTGGAATGTCAGACTCTGTTGGCATGATGGTGATGTTCTGTGTAAGGCTAGAAATGATGCAAGCACTTGGCCTGTACATTGTCATTTCCTCCATCCTAAGGATGAAATCAGAATACTGTTCAACAGACTGAAGCCGTGGCTAATAGGGAAAGGTCTGACACTGCATCAGTTGTTAAGTTAAACACACTAATGAAACTTTGTGAAAGTGATTCCAGTTCTGTTGGTGTTTAGCCACGTTAGCACAGCTCCGTCTACAATTTAGCAGAGTGTCTCATTCAGAGAGAGGAAGCAACTTGACCTACTTGAACCAGGCTGGCTAAGAACAAGGCAAGATTATAAAACTGTATATTTCAATATGTAAAAATATTACTTTAACCAATGTCATTTTATATCCTAGGCTGAATCCTTGTCATAACAAAAACCATACTTTAAAAAGCAAACCAGTTACTTAATTTGAAACCATTTGTTTCTTTGAACAAAGCAACAACCTTCAGGAAGCAGTTAGAGGCTTACTTCTCAATTACATATGGTAGCATCTTGTGATCTGAAGATGCTCTTAGACCGAATCTCCTAGTGAATGTTGGCAATTGGAGTGATTTTTGTTTTGAACACTTTTGTGCTGTTTTATCTAAAAGATAAGCATTCATTTATGGAAACATGAAATACAAATGTAATTCATTCTTCAGGGAAGCTTAATGTTCACTGAGGTACCAAGTGCTTGAAGCACAGATTTTCAAAGATAAGGTCACCTTAATACATATTCTGAGAAGAGGAATAATTAAACCTTTTCTTCTTGTAAGTCATCTTGAGTCTAGAAAGAATGATAGTCCCAGGGTGTGAAAGTTTGCTCTGAGTGTGGGAAAGTTAGGAATTGATCCTGAGAACTTGTAGGCTGTCTTAGAGAAATCCTGATTGACAAGTGTGGGTGGTCAGTTTGTGAGGGTGTGTGCTCAGTAATCTTTACACACATGCACTTAAGTTTTCACTGCTTTGAATAGCTGCCATGCCATATGCTTGTGTGTAATTGTTTTCTTAAATTATTTTCCCATCACTTCCCTTTCTTACCAATTAATTTCATATATATGAGACATATTTTGGGATTCTGTTATAGATGACCTACTTTTTTATTAATTGTTAAGCTTTCAAAATTTTGTTTGTTCAGAATGCTATTTTCATTACTTTCTGGTGCTTAATAAGTGGTTTTATACAAAGCTGCATATTAAAAACAAAGCAAAAAATTAAAAAAAAACCATAGTCTTAGTCTACAAGTAGTTTTTGTTAAAACTGACCTCCAGGAAAAAACTAAATGCTAATGCTAAATCTAGGTTTATTCTATGTAATTCCTTGTATTATTTACTTTCTGACTTGAGGCCACATAAACTATCCATTTTTAAAAATACCGTAAACAATTTTTCTTGAATCCTTATCACTGTACTGAAAGATTCAGGTTAGGACTGGAAGATCTTTCCAATTCATCAGAATTCTTTTTCTAGTAGTTAAGTGTTTAATATGATTTTTTAAGTTTTTGTCTGCAGATATCCCTACAAGTTGATTACCTTTTCTCTACTTTTCAGTTTGGCTTTTCCTCCCCCAAATTTCTCATTAATTTGGGTTGAGAGGTATCATTGTAAGCTGTGAGGTTTAATGCTACCAGGGGAAAATGGACACTATTTGTTTCCCTTTCTTTTTAGCTCCACTAACAAAAAATGTAGCCCACGAAGCAGCTTATTTCAAAAGAAGCACTGTAGAGCTTTTTAAATAAAACGTAAAAAATATGCTAGTGTTCATTGCCTACGTGACTTTAAGCGAAGGCTCTTAAAAACATTCCATGTGGAATCCAAATCCTTGTTAAGCTTAGCTCGGCACAGTGGCCTGCAGAGCCTGTGACTGCTAGTAGCAGTCAGGCATCTCAGTGCTTGCTCGTGTGCTTCCCTCAAGCTTCTTAAACACATTGATTAGTATTTTCTTTGCAGTTATCGCTGTGACGATTTTGTGGTCAATGACACCAAGCTGGGCCTGGTGCAGAAAGTGAGAGAACACTTACAGAACTTGGAAAAGTGAGTAGTGGGTCCTGGAAAGGGGAGGGACCACTCGGTTACCAGCTTGATATATGAATGCAGTTGAAATGTTGATAAACAAAGCCTTGGGTTTATATTTCTGAAACTCTGCCCATATTTCATTCAGTACTTTCCGTAAACCATATCCAAGGTCCAAGAGCCTGTCTTTAAATAACTACCCACAAAGCTACAAGCTATTCAGTTCACTCACAAGAAAGAATTTGGTGGTTGCAAGGAAGATGCATGAAAGGACATTAAGATAATTGTAGAAATATTTGGCATTAAAAAGTTTATGGTTAATATACTGAAGATCTGTTTTGAAAAACAGATTTCAGTATTTAAAGAGAAGTTAGGTTCGAGTGTCTTGAGTGTGCACTACACAAATAAACCACAACATAGGACCTCAATTTCTTCTTCTTCTTGGTAGAAAAGTACATAGAACTTGAAATTACAAAGAGCTTTGTGACCTAAGGAAATATAAGAATTTATTTGAAAACTTGTCTTGCTGTAGCCAAATTGCTTATTCAGATAAAACTCCCAGGACCCAGAACTGAAATGATAAATAGAAATCCACATAGCAATGCCTTTGAAGCTGCAGGATATGACAGCCGACTCAAATGAAACCTGGGTGGCTCCTCACAGTCACCTATATTGTCGTGTCCATCTGATTTATTTTGGCAGTTGGTGTACTAAAAGTATTGTGAAAACATATCAGCTGAGTGTCTCTATTTCATAAGTGTAAACTAGTAGAATATTTCAGAATAATAAAGGAAAAAATATCTTCTGTTTCAACACTATATAGTGTCTTTGTTAACTAAAGTTACACATATTTCACTGCCATAAAGATGAAAGGGAAGAATCAAAATAGTTAATATTTTGGGTCTAGGTACTTGTGTCATCTTTTGACTACTTACTTTTTCAAAGTGCGTTTAATTCTTTTCATTGGAGGTGAGCAGCATGGGGCTATGTGTGACAAGAAACAGAAGCCCCGAGAAGCCTCTAAGTCACTGAGAAATGATTTTCAATTTTAATTAAGTTTAAATAGCTATGTATAGCGAGGAGTGATCATTCTGTGTTGGAGAGTTTAGTTCTAGCGCAGTGGTTCTCATCTGCCTCATGCTGTGCCCCTTTAATACACTTCCTCATGTTGTGGGGACCCCACCATAAAATTATTTTAATTGCTACTTCATAACTAATTTTACTACTGTTATGAATCTTAATGTAAATATCTGATATATGACCCCTCTGAAAGGGTTGTTGAACCCTGAAAGGGATTATGACCCACAGGTTAAGAACCGCTAGTCTAGAGGATTCTACTATTTGAGAATAACAGTATAAAATATATCTTAAAATGTATTTTCAAAAGCCAAATGCTTTATTCAGGTAGTTTAAGCCTGAAAGATATTAGTCATGTTTACTAAGTAGCATGTTTTGTGTCATTTCCAGAACAGGTAAAAGAATAGTTTAATATCTTGTCACCAAGTGCTTGAAGCAACTGATACCAGACCTATGTTCCAAAGACATTGTAGTTCATGAAGTTATGGAAAGAAAAACAAGTGTATCTTTGATAATTCAAATTTTAGAAAAGAATTGGCAGACTTAAAGCCTGGACTGTTGAGTGGTAATTTTTATTCCTTCAGATAGTTCTCTTGGTAACTTTAAGGCGATACTGTGAGGATGGGAGTAACTCTGAATTTTAAGCAAAGACTTTCCTAGTGTAGTATAAGGATTTATTTTGAAATGTCCTTTGCCATATAACTAAATCAGATGAGTGAGGTTATCCATGCCTGTGTCCTTGTGCTGCTTCATGCCTCACAGCGGACAGAAGGCAGTCCACAGAGGCAAACTGAAGTTCAACATCTTTTCCAGATCAAGAAAGAAAGAAAAAAGAAAGAAAGAAACAGCATATTGTTTGAGAATAGCTGTTAAGTTTCCTATCCATTGTGTAAGATCAGGGTTTTCCTTTTGTCACGAGCAACAGATCTTCTGAATTTTGAAGCTTCATAGTCTCTTGTCAGGAAGGAACGCATATCTTACAGACCTCAACTCCTAACCATTGTTGGGAGTAGCATCGGCTCTCCCCGTGCTGTGGAGGAGCAGTGGAGATTTCCAGGGAGTGAAAAGTCTCAGATCACTTCAGATACTAGTGGGCCTGACTGGTCGGTCACTTGATGACCTCACAAAGCAGCTGGGCTGGACTCTACCTTAGATGTTGAGGGCAATTCGGGTTTATCCTTTAGCTTGCTGCATATCATGTATTCATTAGTGTCTTTTTAACTGTTTGTTTTTATCTTAATAGCTCAGCTTTTACAGCTGACAGGCATAGAAAAAGAAAATTATTGGAAAACTCATCACTAAACAGCAAGTTATTAAAAGTAAATGTAAGTATTGAAAAATTGTTCCTATGCAAGAATTAAGGTCTAATCACTGTTAGAGCTCTAACAACTGTGCTTTGACCTGTTATAGATTTTTATTAATGTGTCTTGAAGTGTTTTGCAAAAATGTTTGCCACTTATAAAACACCCCTCCCCTCCTTTGGAGGTGATCTATGTAGTCCTGGCTGTCCTAGAACTCTATGTAGGCAAGGCTGGCCTCACTTAGAGCTTTGCCTGTCTCTGCTTCCCCAGTGTTGGGATTAAAGGTGTTTACCACTCTGCAAGCAGTTCAAGTTTTTTTTTGTTTGTTTGAGATAGGGTTTCACTATATAGTCCTGGCCAGCCTGGAACTTTCTAGACCAGGCTGGCCTTGAACTAAAATACCAGCTTGCCTTTGCCTCGGAGTGCTGGGATTAAAGGCGTGGCTCATCACACCCTGCACACCCTGTCCAAGCAGTTCACTCTTAGTCCTTATTCAGGCACCTTCTGTGATGCTGAAAGCCTGCTTCCTTCTGGTAATGTTCCCGTTTTAGGGTTCCTATTGTCCTGATGAAACACTATGACCAAAGCAACCACAGGAGGAAAGGGTTTGTTCTGCTTACACTTCCACATCACAGTTCGTCATGGAAGGAAGTCAGGGCAGGACCCTGGAGACAGGAGCTGATGCAGAGGCCATGGAGGGTGCTGTTTACTGGCTTGCTCAGCTGTTTTCTTATAGAAACCAGGACCACATTACTTGGCCTTCCGCATCAATCACCAATTAAGAAAATGCCCTATAGGCTTATCTACAGTCTCTGATGACTCTAGCTTGTGTTAAGTTGACATGAAACTCTTTTGAGTACAGTTCCCTAGATTCTATTGGTCTGAACTTTTTTTTTGGTAGGGTTTTTGTTTGTTTGCCTCAGGGCTTCATTAATGTAATTTCACCATGGAAATATTCATCCTCATTTTAGAAACCACTCAGATTAACAGAGTCACTATATATTTAATGACCCAGCAGTATTTTTGCCTTGCATTTAACCCTTTGCTGTCAATGGACCTATGCCTAAAGTTTTAAATGGCAAAGGTGCTGTCTTAGCCATCTGAATTACAGGCAGAGATGTTTGGGTTGGACTGGAGGATTTACCTCCTGGTATCTATATATCTTGGGGGCATCTGTAGAACTGCAGAGAACCAAGCCTCTGTCTTTAAGAATTTCAGGTTGTGTTTTATGGTTCATACTCATTGCTAGGAACACATCTGTCACTTGAGTATGCTTTTCAGTTAAAAGTTAGGGTTTGCATGTTTGTGATTTTCAATTTATATTTTTAGTAGGATCTTGTAAATAAATGTATCAACTTAAGATGTATTTCCCCGTTTTCTTGCATCTGTGGTACTTGTTGATGCGTATTTTCTGAGAAACAGATACTAAAATACCCATGCCCTCACATTACCTAGAGAGGCTGTCTGGAGGTACTCACTGGGCAGAAGAGGGAAAGGAGTGCTTCCAGATAGGCATGGCACTAGAGTTTCAAGCAGAGACCTTGGCTTAGTGTTGGTGTTTGAAACAGTGAACCATCCTCGGCAGTGCTTATGGCTTCTTCTTCCATGTTACAGGGAAGTGCAACTGCCATCTGTGCCACAGGCCTCCGGAATTTGGGCAACACATGTTTCATGAATGCTATCCTTCAGTCACTCAGGTAATGAATGCTACAGTCAGAAGTTTACATATTTGACACTATAGATCAAGTGTTCAGAGACTGTCTTCTGCCTCAAACACTACTTCCTGTGCTTTTTTTCCCTCATCAGTAAAATTGAGAAAATGTTTCCTACTTCACACAGTAGGAGGGAAGAGTAAATAATGTTATCTGTCTAAATGCCTTCAAGCATTTTTTTTTGGTTAGAAAATCATGGTTAGCTCTTATTTCTGTTTGTTTTTTGAATGACTACAGGAGGGATCAGGACATGTCTGTTTGAAAGATGAGATAGAAACTATTTTAGGCCATGTGTACATGTTTCTCTCCTATTTTATTCCCCTCAACTATTTCCTAGCTTTTTTTTAAAAATAGGTTTTAAACATGTAAAACTCAAGGCAGATGTTAATGGTAGATACATACCATCTCAGCCACTCAGGAAGCTAAGGCAAGGGAGATTGCCAGCTCAAGCCTGGATAACATAGTCAAACTCCAGTCAAACTCCTTTTCCAGAGAAGGAAAAGACAAGTTTAAAACAAACAAAAAAAACTTAGTTGAAAATATAAAACTTCCCTGGCTGAGGGATGTATCTGGCCAATAAATAGGCTTGTAATCTGTAGACCCTAGGCTGCAGGGAACCTGGTTCAGAGCTTCTTTCAGCCACTAGTTAAGTCTTCATGAGAACATCACAGAAAGTGGCCAATAGGGTTGATCTCAGTGGAAGAAACTGCTTTAAAATTTTACACTTTTAGACTTTATTGAGGCGACAAGGGGAAGTCAGTTATCTTCCCAGTCAGAGCAGAGCCACACTGAATCTTAGAGGTTTGTCTTCCCTCTCACCTGTTTTCCTCAGAGAAATTAGTTACTGCTAATGTTTCCTTATGATTATACAGCACATCTAAATAATGAGATTGTTTCCATGGTTTGTTTTCTCTGGTGGAATTGTTGGATTAGATGTCCAAACATCAGGGAGGAGTTGCTCCAGACATCACTCACACAGCCTCAATTGATGCAAAAGCAAGAGGATTTTTATTCTGTCATGACAGGGCCCTTCAGGTTCGGGATATGAAGGACCCCCAAGAGCTGTTACAGCCCATCTTTTAAAGCAAAAAGCCACAGACACAAGGGGGGAACCTGTAGGTTGTTTATCAACTTACTGGATTGGCGTATTCATAGGATTGCTAGTAGTGATTGGTCTATTCCAGGGCAGGAGAATAGGAGAATAGCTGCGTGGTCAGGTGATAAGGGAGAGCATCTGTGGTCCATCCTGACCTTGGTCCAGTGACTAAATCAATACATCAGGAACTGAGTCAACATCTGTGGGTTGTCTTTGCCTCAATTCCCAGAATGGAGTTATGTTTGAAGATTATTCACAAGGACACAGGAGGACGAGCAGTCCAGCATATATGTGTGTGTGTGTGTGTGTGTGTGTGTGTGTGTGTGTGTGCATGCGACTGTCCGGTTTCCAAGAGAGAGTGAGTGTAAGGTTTTAGAAAATTGTCTTAGGGTTGAGGGGCTTAGAAATGCATTTAGAGTCTTTCAGAATTATTTTATTGAATACCTGGAAACAAGCACCCTGAAAGAGAGAAGTGGAAGATGGGGGGTGTAGCTCAGTTGATAGGGAGCACCCCAAGCAGACACCAGGCCATGGCAGTTCCCCAGCAAACATATTAGGTGTGCTGGTGCATGCCTGAAAAGAGTGAAGAAGAAGGAATGAAGAGGGAGGAGAGGGGAAGGAAGAAGGGACAAGGGATTTTTAAAGGGAAATTTACTTTTGAGTCATTTGTTCATTCCCTTGGAGTTGCACATCTGCTATTTCTTAGAGCGAGGGGCAGCAGTGAAACTCGGTGAACTAGAACTGCCCCGAGTGCTGTATAATGAGGCACGTGAAAGATTAGATTTTGAAAATTCTTGTGTAGATTTTGTAGAACCTTTTTTTAACCATCCTTTACATTTTTTTTAAAATAATTTTCTTCACTTCCCTTTAAAATAGTAACATTGAGCAGTTCTGCTGTTATTTCAAAGAGCTGCCTGCTGTGGAATTACGGAATGGGAAAACAGCAGGAAGGCGAACATACCACACCCGGAGCCAAGGGGACAACAACGTGTGAGTTATCAGAAATGTCCTTTCTGGCTTTGAGCCGCAAACATGAATTTCTCGGGTGATTTTTAGATTATTTGAGCTAATGAGTAGATTTTATAAAACTCTTCTAATATTGTGTTAATCTAGCTCATAATCTTGTTTCCTTAAATTTCTGCTTATAATGGGAAGCATAGCTAGTGCTGCACTCGAGCCTTTGCAGACATCAATAAGTATTGCAAGTCCATCTTAATCTTTGGATCCGTTACTGATATGTTAGTTAAGCCTGTTTGGGATGATAAAATTAATAGCCAGTTTGAGTTAATCTGGAGGAGTTAAAAACAGAAGTGGTTATCAAGGACCATTTTATATGTAGATTCACTGCAGCTTTGCCCATCTGGGGTTCAGAAGATCTGCTATGTTACACTAGTAGAATAGTGTATCTTTTCCATACCATTACTGAATAAGATATACCTTACCCATGCGTGTAGTGTTTTTCCTGCCAGCCTGTTTCACTCCCACACACACTTCTTTCCTACTAATTTTGAAAGGCCATTTATGAGGCACTGCCCTGCCTCAAAGAGAGAGGGAGGGAAAAGGAGAGAGAGAGAGATAATGTTAGAATATTGTGTAATGCAGCTAGAGCCCCATCATAGAGAAGGGGTCATATAGTGTGTAAAGGGAGCTTCCTTTGGGGACAACATATAGGAGGAATAGGAAAGTGCCTGCATTTAGGGGACTTGCGTTGTGTCAAAGGAAACAGCAGGGGGAATAAAGGGGAAATACATGTATGCAGAAGTTAAGAGAAGCACTAACAGTACCCGGTGTATTGGTGTTATTTAGAATTTGTCTGGCTGATTAAGTCAAAAAGAGAATTTACTGAAGACCTGTTGGTGAGTCTGCATTACTGGATGTTTCGAAAATCAGGTCAAAGCTAGCACCACAGCCACAGTCATGCACAGAACTGCCCTCTAAGAACGTTGCAGCTCTTGCTCCTGCCCCTGGATTTGGGGTGGTGCTTGTTACTTCTGCCACCTCCAAAGAGGATTTGGTGCTGTCTCTTCTTTTTTGTGTCACCTAACTCCTGCTTCAAATGTGCAGAACCCAGGCCATGTACTTTGCTCCAGCTGCAAGGAGGGCTAAGAGGGCACCTTCCGGCTGTTCCAGTGTCTCTTGGGAGGTAGGCCAGTGTATATGGTTTGCTGTCAGAGAAACCTTCAGTCAAGTACCCAGGAGTGGTTGACTATACTGCCAGATCTAGTAGCTGAATTCAGAGTTTATCAGTTTAACTACTTGCACAGAAGAATCAGAATTAGCTGTAACTTTTGTATCTATGGTTTTTATTTCTCATGTAAATTTAGGAGATTATCTGTCAAGAACTATTTTGCAAAGTCATTAGGCTCCTTCTTATTCAGGGGAGTGGCTTTTGTCCACATAGTCCCAGATAGTGGGGAACTCCTATTACGAACGAACGTATCCTAGCTATGGGGAAAAGGAGGGGTTGCTAAGGACTACTCTTTTTCCTGAGGAAACTCCCCCAGAAGTGGCACACTCCCAGGTTTTTATTCTTGGAGTTCATCTGATTAATTAAAAGAAGTGAAGAATGGCTATGGGGGGAGAGCTAGGAGAACACGGAGTAGTAGGACCTGGAGCAGCTTTGCACATAGTCACTGTGAAGTGACCAAAAGATGCCCAGTAAGAAGTTCCTGTCAGAAATGGGAAAACCTGAATAAAAAGTCATAAAGGCCGGGCATGGTGGGCACACCTTTAATCCCATCAGAAGCAGAGGTGTTTGAGTCTGAGGGCAGCCTTGACTACGTAGCAAGTCCAAGATAGCCAGGAGTACATAGTGAGATCCTGACACATACACCAAAAATCGTCAAAGTCTCTTCTAGATTTGGGTTTAAGGGTCAGTGTGTAGAGTTAAAGCCTCAAGTCTTAGGACCACGTGTACTGTCTGAGGCAGAGATGAATGAGTCCAATCTGGAAGGCCCCTTCAAGGAAGAAGGAAACATGCAGGAGATGGGGACATTCTGTTGCTTGTTTACGTTTTTACGCGAACGTGTTTAAGTAATTTGCTTGCAAGTTAACCACTGCTTTACTGTTTTGTATGTTTCCTTTAAATTGAGTGAACAAAATGATAGTACATTTATATACTCAGAGATATAGTTAAAATTAGTCAACAATACTACTATTCATATGGGGTTTTAAAAATGCCCTTACATAGGTATTAGGCTGAGTTTAGAAGACTAAGTCCTTGAAAAGCTCTCATGTTTTACTGTATTTATACAGTTGAGACATATGTGTTGAAATAATGACCTTTCATGGATGCTAAAGCTATCATCTCCCCCCCTTTTCCAGGTCTCTAGTAGAAGAGTTTAGGAAGACACTGTGTGCTTTATGGCAAGGCAGCCAGACTGCATTTAGTCCTGAGTCCTTGTTTTATGTTGTCTGGAAGATCATGCCTAACTTCAGGTAGGTATTGAAGGGTGCGTAAGACATCTGTGTCCATTCTGCTGTTCCTCAGCCTCTTATAAAACTGGTGCTACTACAGGTGCTTCTAGCAGCGCTTTTATTAGACGAGCGTATGGCATAGAGTAAACACTCATTTAAAGTCCCATAAGTAGTCCATGTGTGCTAGGAAAATGTAGCAGACCACAAACATCCCTCGATTCTTTCAAGTCTTTCTTTTTTAAAAAATTTTATTTCTATATTCATTGTTTTGCCTGCATGTATGTCTCTCTGAGGTGTTGAATCCCCTGGAACTGGAGTAAGCTGTCATGGGTGCTGGGAATTGAACCTGGGTCCTCTAGAAGACCAGCCAGTGCTCTGAGCCATACATATCTCCAGCCCTGATTGTTTCAAGTCTCACAGAGAAATAATTGTCATCACATGCTATCTTATCATCCCAGCTTAAAGAATGAAGTGAGGGTTGGGGCTTGGTTGGTAGAACACTAGCCTGATATGTGTGAGGCTACAGGTTCAATCTCTGATACCACTCAGGTACCGTGCTGTCCAGGTTGACTGTGAGTCACACTTTGGGAGACAGCAGGGCCAATCCTACTTAGCCACCTGTTCATTCTCTCTGGTAGCTGTCCTGCCTCTCTTGGTTAGTCATCCCTGGGAGAATCTGGATCATTACTGATGTATGGTATGCCAGTGTTTGTCACACTTGGCTATTTCTTTGAAGCAATTTATAGCTCTTAGAAGTCATGATTTGGTACTTTGCATATATCCTTTGTTTAAAAACCACTCATTGCTGGGCGGTGGTGGCGCACGCCTTTAATCCCAGCACTTGGGAGGCAGAGACAGGCGGATCTCTGTGAGTTCGAGACCAGCCTGGTCTACAAGAGCTAGTTACAGGACAGGCTCCAAAACCACAGAGAAACCCTGTCTCGAAAAACCACAAAAAAAAAAAAAAAAAACAAAAACAAAAACAAAAAAAACAAACCACTCATTGTAGTGAAATTTAACAATATATCTTGTACCTTTTAATATAAAGAAATGTGTAAAAGGTATAAAACTCAAAGCCTTGTAATTCACTGCTTACCAAATGAGCTGAGCCTCTGAGTGTCTGATTTAACTGCTGTTGACCCTGGTGTTAAGTCTCCTCTCGACTCTAGGCAGGAAAAGCAGCAATGACAGCTCAGATGCCACTCATCAGGCTTGAACTTTACATATCATTGTGGTTCCCATTTATTGAATGTCTACTATGTGGAAAACCCTAATTACTTTATCCTTATTAAAAACCAAGCAACAAAGCATTTTAGCCAAGTCAGGACATGTTTCCCCTAAGTTTAGAGAAGTCAAAGTAGAGAAGCAGCTTGCTCGGTCTTCTATATCTACCTGATAGTCTGACCAAATTAGAAGTGTGTAGGAGCTGGTTCTTAGCAGATGTGACTTGAGTGAAGGGTGGTGCGGTTTCCTTCATCTTTTCATCTTGACTGTTTGACACCCCTTTTCTGATACAGTGCAATCTGCTTTTCTTCAAACATCACCTCATCACTGCCCTCTCTGGGTTCTATAGCCCAACTGTGAGCATGGTTTAATTTAACTGTTGAATTTACTGATTTTAGTATTTCTACTGATAAATGAAAACTTCAGAAGAGAAAGCCAGGTTGAGAAATTTACTCAATCTCTGGGGTGATTTCTGATACATAAGAATTCTGATGTTTTCCCAGTTACAGCTGGGCTTTCTTCTGGTTCTGCAATAATTGAGATCATTCCCCATTTTTGTGTACTCAAAGAACTTCCCTTTGTTGAAAGATAGAGATGTACAGATCTTGAGATCATCACCTTACTGAGTTAAAAGCCTGGAGGTGGGACTGTCCTGCGAGTTCTGGGAGGATGCTGATGGCGGTCTGCTGAGCTCTGCGGGTAGGGCTTTCTTTAAGGCTAGGTGTGATTCTTAAACCATGGGCATGTGGAAGCACAGCTAGTCTTCCAATATGCTGCCACTGTGTTTATTTATAACCCACACTATTGTTCTGTTTGCAAAGCCTGGGAAAACTGGCTTCTGGAATGACATTGGAGAGAAGTAGGAGCATCTTTCATCTACGAAGTGAGCGTGGGCAAAAGTCATGAATGCAGCCAGGAACTTTTGTGTATACATCAAGGCTACTTTTCCCCACTGGAACCAAAAGCCAGTTACCTAGCAGGGAAATTTTCTCATAGTCCAGTGTGCATATCTGCTTACTATATGTACGACTTCCTAGTATGCCCAGCCTTGTTCGGTTTTTTCTTAAAAGACAGATACATTCAGGTTTTAGTAGGCAAAATATGTATGGTTCTAAATTTAAAAGATTAAGATTACAATAGGCACTGAGTGTTCTCTTTCACTCCAATCCCTCACTATCCTGTTTTCTGGAAGTAGGCAGTTACCTTATCGCCAAGTGTGCTTTCAGTGATAATCTCTGTACATGCTTAAGTGTACTTAACTTTAAAAATAAGTGATTATATAAATAATGCCTTTCCTGTAGCTTTGCTGAGATGAACAGCCTGTGTACACGTATGTATAACTGTCTGACTGCAGACTTGCTGGGTCAGAGTTTGGACCCTTATGATTCAGATGGCCTTTCACTTACCTCTGTCACTCCTGCTTCCATCAGCATGGGTTTACCTTGTGCTCTTGCTGTCTGTTTGCCCTTTGGTCCAAACTTTTCTTTAGGATCTAGCTTATTTACTCCATGGAAGTCTTTTTAGAAATTAAATCAGGCCGTGTGGTATTCACTTGCATCTCATATTTATTTGCCATTTCTGCTTCCATGAACAACCTGATTGCCTCAACTTCCTAAAACATAACTTTTTTTTTTTTGAAAAAATTTAGTTCTTGTTATAACTTACATAAGGAATGGGAAAATGTAGTGTGAATTCTAATTGGTCTTAATAATAAAAACCCGGAGTCAAATATGAAGGGGTGAAAGCTGAAAGATAGAGACGCAGAGCAGCTAACCACTAGAATTCTTACTTTTATGAAACTTTTGGACTGAATGGGGTATCCTGTCTCCACAAGTTCTCAGACTGAATGCCTTGAGCTCCTATATCCTCCCGCCTTATATTCTCTCTCTGCCCAACTATATCCTATCTTGCCTCCACCTCCCTAGTGTTGGGATTAAAGGCATGTGAGTTCCAAATACTAGGATTAAAGGTGTGAATCACCACCACTTGGCTCTGTTTCTCTTTTACACTGGATCAATTTTGTGTAGCCCAGTGTAGCCTTGAGCTCACAGAGAGTCATTTGCCTCTGCCTCCCCAGTGCTGTGTTGAAAGGTGTGTGCCACCACTGCCTGGCCTCTATGGCTAACTGGTGTGACTTAACTCTGCACTCTGATCTTCAGGCGAGCTTTATTTGTTAGAGCACAAACAAATATTACCACAGAAGAATGATTTTACCTTATATGTTAGTGATTTTTAGGTTTCTGGACAGTATAAAAGATCATTTATAATTTTTAATCTTTTGAGATAAATTTGTGAAAGAAGACTTTAAAGTACTGTGTTGTTCTTTTTTAAGCAGCATTAGTTCTTCTGATAGGAAGTGTGCTGTTACATACATATGTCTGCATTTGTTGTAAACATTCATTTCTATTGTTTTCATGTTTTATAAGACAATGCCAACACTGGGCAAAAGATAGCTTAATATACTTCAGTTTTGCAAGTGTTTTGGCCAAAAGAATAACTTATAATTCTTTTATGAATGTTGAAATACTTTAAATATGAATAGAACGTAAAATTCTATCAGGTATGCAAACAGCATAAGTCACTCAGTCAAGAGCTGCTAATGGGACAGGAGTGATGACACACATCTGCATCCTTGCTCTCAGGACTGAGTCAGGATTGCAGGTTTGAGGTGGCCTACACACAGTAAGACTTTGTTCCATCCCCCATACCCAGAGAGAAAGAAAACTCTTAATATGTTTTAGGTATTTTAGAGGCTGTTTATCCTAGACTAATCAACTTTGCGGAGGCATGCCTTAATGCTTTCCTTTTTTTTTTTTTTTTTTTTTCTGGACAAGGTTTCTCCATGTAGCCCTGGTTGTCCTGGAACAGACTTGTAGACCATGCTAGCCTTGAGCTCAGAGAAATCCTTCTCCTGCCTCCGCTTCCTGAGTGCTGGGATTAGAGGTGTGCACCACCACACACAGCTATCTTACTCCTGTGTGCACGTGTGGTATTGGGGATTGAACCTAGGGCCCTGCACATAAGCAAGTGCTCTATCCTCAGTCTTTTAGTTTGAGACAGGGTCTCATTAGGTTGCCCTGAACCTCCTGCCTCAGTTTCCTGTGAGATGAGGTCATACTCAATTTTCTCAGCATGTCTGGATTTAGTGATCCACCTGCCTCAGGATTATAAGTGCCCACCACACCACACCTGGCTGCTCTTATCCTCTGACTGATTATTCTTTGTTTAGGCAGTGCCAATATATAGTAACACATTATTTAGAATGTTTACGCTCATACCTGACTAGCACCCCATTCTTTATCAGAACAGTGATTTGTCTTTAAGATGTGTATCTTCATGTGTCACAAGTTGTTGCTCCTTTGTGCCTGGTGATGTGCTCCCATCAGTGTGTCTCCGGACACTTAGAGGTCCTTTAGGAGTTTCCAGTATTTGCAGTATGATTTCTCACATCATTTTTGTTTTTATTTATTTATTTTTATGTATACAATATTCTGTCTGTGTGTATGCCTGAAGGCCAGAAGAGGGCACCAGACCCCATTACAGATGGTTGTGAGCCACCATGTGGTTGCTGGGAATTGAACTCAGGACCTTTGGAAGAGCAGGAAATGCTCTTAACCTCTGAGCCATCTCTCCAGCCCCTTCTCACATCATTTTGACAGATTTTCTGTTAATCTTTCGGAATGCATCAAGGAAGAGGATACTCTTAGGTCTAACAATTGTAAAGAACCTCATTACTATGGAAACCTCTGTTACTTTCTTTGGTCTTTTAATCCTGGTCTGTCACAGAGACTAAATGTGGGTCTTTATAACCTGTTTCTTCCTTAGTTCACAAGCAATTACTGGTGACACCTCTGAAACATACAATGTGCATGTCATTTACCCAGTTACAAAGCAAGAGAAATCTAATTAGCTAAAGAGGATTTTGAAGCCTGGATTGTATAACTGGGAAACAACCGAGAAAATAAGATGCTAAATAATACTACTTAACAGACTCATTGACTTATCTGAAAGTCTTTAAAATAAAATTAATTATTGAGTACTTGAGAATGGTCATTGGTTAAGAACACTTGTTCTTGGGGCTGGAGAGATGGCTCAGTGGTTAAGAGCACTGCTTGCTCTTCCAAAGGTCCTGAATTCAGTTCCCAGCAACCACATGGTGGCTCACAACCATCTGTAATAAGATTTGGTGTCCTCTTCTGGCCTGGAGGCATCCATGCAGTCCACTAAGAATACTGTATACATAATAAATAAATAAATCTTAAAAAAAAACATTAAAAAAAAAAAGAACACTTGTTCTTGCGGAGGATCTGGCTTTTATTCCCAGCACCTACATGGTGGCTCACACAGCTGGTAAATTCAGTTCCAGGGGATTCATCAACTACTTCCGACTTCAGTGGGCACCAGACATTTCACTTGGTGTCCAGACATGCATGTGACCATTCATATACACGGAATAAAATAAATCTTTTTATTTACTTTTACTTTTCTGGGACAGGGTCTCTCTGTGTAGCCCTGGGTGTCCTGGAATTTGCTCTGTAGACCAGGCTGGCCTCAAACTCAGAGATCTGCCTTTGCTTCCCGAGTGCTTGGATTAAATGTATACACCATTACCACCCAGCCATATTTCTTTTTTTTAAATTTTTACTTCCTTTTTTTTTCATTTATTTAAGACAGGGTATCACTATGTGACCATGACTGTCCTGGAATTCACTATGTAGAATAGGCTGTCCTTGAGCTTGAGGTCTCCCTGCCTCTACCTCCCAGTGCTGGGTTTATCCATGTATTTCTTAAGGGATGGAGTGTAAATGCATTTTAAAATTCAGGATCAGAAAGAAAAACAATGATTTTGATTTTGCTAAATTTCAAAATTTTAAACAAAAAGTCTCAATTTACCTTTTTGGAACAGTTGATTGTGAGCTCATATAAGTTGAGGAGAATGTTTAGGGTATTAGAGAATCATAGTATAATTGGGAATTCCTTAACATACACCAGGCAGATGTTTTGTAAAGGAATATGTGTTCACCTGGTGAAAACAGAAATTATTGTAAGGTATTGACTTGGAATGTATATTTTAGGAAAAAAAGTAATTTAAGTTATTTTGGGAAGAGTGAAATTTTTGTAGACTTGCAGATAATACTGATCTTACCTTACAGTCATACAAACAAGTGGATGTTGTGTTGAACTAGTTTAAAGCCCGTCCTTTTTATGTAGATGAACTACCGGCTTTGGATATACACTTGATGGTTTGATTTTTGTTTTTTGAAACAGGGTTTCTGTATAGCCCTGGTTTTCTTGGGACTGTAGACCACGCTAACCTTGGATTTACAGAGACCCTCCTGCTTATGCCTTCTGAGTGCTGGGATCAAAGCGAACACTTCCACCTCCTAGCTAACTGACAGTTTGAATTATACTAACTTCAGAAGTATTTGAACATATGTTGATAGTTGCTAATTTTATATTTTATGTTTAAGGCAAGCTACAGTGGATAAAGTGACTTCTGATTTTGAAGTTCCATTAATTAGGAAGACCGCCCTTAGTTTATAATTTCTAGGAAAGGGCAACAGTATAACTTAAGGGAAACTATGACTGAAAGAGAATTGGTCTCAGTGACTCCTTAAACGTCACCAGAACAGATGTACCATTTAAGGAGGACCTTAACTGTGAAAGGTGTATAGGAGACTTTTCTGTCATAGTTTTAGAATACATTTTATATATCATTGTTTTGTTTGTTTTTGGATCTCTTCGTTGTTGTTCACTAGTCATTGACCTGGATTAGTGGATTAGTGTAAGAATTCCATGAAGTCTCCTCTCACTTGTGTTCAGTGAGTCAATGTATTTTAAAAGAACATACTCTTCTAGCCCAAAAGATGGAAGTTACAGAATATTACATATCTTGAACTCATTTTGTGTGTACACACTTGTGGAGACCAGGGTTGATATCTGATCTTTTTGTTGTTGTTGTTGTTCTTCATTTTTTGAGACAGGGTTTCGGTCCTGGAACTCTCTCTGTAGTCCAGGCTGGCCTCACACTTACCGAGAATTCACCTTGCCTCTGCCTTCTGCATACTGGGATTAAAGGCATGTGTCGCCATCTTCCAGCTTGGTTATTTCTTTTTAAAACTAATTAATTTTTAAAATTAGTTTAAAAATTTAAACTTTTTAAAAATTAACTTCCTCCTTCCTTCCTTTTTCTATTTGAGATGAGACAGCCTGCTTGAGCTAGACTGGTTGACTTGGCCAGGGAGCCCTAGGGGGTTCTTATCCGTGCCCCCCCCTCCCCCCCCCATGTTGTGAGATGCTGTTTCTCACATGGTTCTGGGGACTGCACTCAGGTCCTCATGCTTGCAGAGACTGGCGGAGCTTTCTCCCTACCAGGCCCAGATAACTTTAATTCTTGGATTGAAGAGTTTTAAAACATATATAAGTATTCTAAATTTCTTACTTCTTTTAGTGAAACTTAGTCATGGCTTTCAGCTTAGATTAAGTTAAAGATTTAGGTCCTTCCTGGAGAGAACCCGTGGAGGGTGGGTCCATTTAAGAGGTGAAAATTTGTGTGTTGTCTCTTGTAGGACTTGAGGTGAGTCTCATACCATCCCTCCCCTAATTAGTTCCTTAATTTATGCTGAAGTGGAGAGGTCAGTGGAAATCACTACAGCTCCATTTAGCTCTGTTTGAAATTCAGAGACGTCTGTGTCACTTGTGGAAGTGGTGAGGCAGAAGTGGGGATCGGAGGCATGCTTGCGAGCCTGGGGCTGCAGTCATTCATGTTTGATGGGGGGGCCTCCCACACACTCTTTTTGTTTACTTCAAGGGGTTATCAGCAGCAAGATGCCCACGAATTCATGCGCTACCTTTTGGATCACCTACACTTGGAACTTCAGGGTGGCTTCAATGGTGTTTCCCGATCAGCAATTCTACAGGAGAATTCTGCTCTGTCTGCAAATAACAAATGCTGCATGTAAGACTTAGTTTACTTTTGCTCTCAGAACCCTCAGAGATGCCTGCTAGTGTGTGTGTGTGTGTGTGTGTGTGTGCGTGTGTGTGCGCGTGCTATGTGCTTTTACATTTTTGTTTAAATAAGCATTTATACTTAGGTCTTGCTGTGGTTCTCATTATTTTTGGTGAGATTTAATTAGTATTTAAAAGGTTTTCAAGCAGATAAACTGAATAATGTGCACGTGTAATACTCTTGAGATCAGGGACCCAGATCTGTAATCCTAGAACACTGGATTATGAGAGAGGATAATCATTATGAGTCCAATTCCAGGCTAAGTTAGTAGTTAGATTCTTTCCCATGCACACACAGTAATGTTAGCTAAAAGCATTTTTTTCTTTAGTGAAACTGAGAAATTTGTAAATTTGCAGAACTTTTTCTTGTCCCTTACTATTAACAAAACCTTTTGTCTTGCTTCCTTTATATTAACAGCCTGAAACATACTCAGGTATCAGAACAGTTATTTTGCTGAGAAGGAAAGTAGTATTTCAGTCTGGATTCTAGGCATTTGCATTTTTTTTTTTTAAAGAAAGGGCTGTCTACTGTGTAGCCCTGATTAGCCTGGAACTTACAGAGTGTACCTGCTTTCTGAGTCCTGCACCGTGCTCAGCCCTTTTCAGTTGTTTGTACTCTGTTTAGGATTCTTTCTGTGGGAAGATGTCTTATAAATCCCTCTCCTACATAAAGAAAGAAGTGGGGGTGACTGGTACTTTCTGGTGGTTGGCGCTCACCCTCAAATCCTGCAGCGTCAAAGAAAACAGACTGGGATGAATTGCCAGGTTCCTCCAGGACCCTGAAGTTCGAGTCAGCACACTGTAGAAAGGGAAGCTCTAAGATCCAGTTAAGCTGTTTGTTCTTCTAGCACCAAGTTAAAAATAATGTTAAATAAAAAATTGTATATTGCAGCATATATATATATATATAATGAAATAGGCTCTATCAAAGATAATTTGTATGAAATGAGAGTGTTATGTATCCTCAGTAGCTTAGAAACTCTGGGTCTTCTAGTGGAATTGCATTGTATAGTTCAGAACCAATTTTAGTATTAGTCTATTTAAAGAATAGTAATTGCAAGTTAGAAGAAAAATATATCATCAACCACTAAAGCTTTCCCTTTCTTTCCTTCAGTCCATGGGAGGAGATGTTTCAAGACCTAGGGATACTTGCTAAAAGCGCTTCTTAAAGCTGGGAGTGGGTGATGATGAGATAGAAATGCCCTGACAGTTGTTAGTGCTAATACAACAGAGCAGAAAGCATCCTGGGAATTATTAATCTTAACACATGCCGGTCATAAGGCTGAAACTGGATTTCTCCCAGGAAATGGTTATGGGCAGTGAGTTTTAATGCGCTGCTTTTAAATGAAGCAGTGTCCATTTCACGTAAAGGCAACCTTGCATATGTGCATTGATGTGCCAGGGTCAGTTGTAGCCCTTCATTTTCCATAGAATTTGTGTGTTCTTTGGTTATGGCACAAGTATAAATGGAAATCCTGGAACAGTTTAATGTCCTGTAGTTCCTAATGTGCCTTCAGGCTTTTAAAATCCATTTCTTTTGCATGTAGCAGAGAAGTTGCTTGGGTAGGTTTTTGTCTACATCATGGCAGAGGTTTACTTGGTGTGGTGCAGAAAGTTTCTGTTCAGTGTAAGAGAAACTGGTTGCTATGGGCAAAGTGGTACTTTCTGGGCTCAGAAACAAGTATTTGTAATATTATTATTACTACACACGGTCTCTGTACAGTCATTGTACTTGCTATGTAGATCAGGTTGGTTTTGAACACTTGGAGATCTGCCAGCTCCTGTCTCATGAGTGCTGGAATTAAAGGTGTGAAGATTGACCCTTGGCCGTTATAGTACTATTAATAAGAACAGACACTGAGCCACCTCAATATCCATTGATGGCATCTTGGTTAAATAAAGGGCTTAGTGTGGAGAATAACTTCATGGCCTAAGCTGGGTCCTGATCCTGTCTCAGTATCCTGGTTTGCAAAGCAGGAACAGCATTAAACACGCAGCTCTGAGCATTCACTTCACTAACAGGTGCTCAGAATGGAGCACACATACAGGACACTTGCTACTCCAGGTGCCCTTTCTTCCACCTGAGCCCATGGTGGGTCTGAAACTGGGAAAAAATACCAGCATGGGTAGGTGCTGCCTGAAGTTTTGCTGATAAAATAATGGTGAACGCTAGATGTGCAGTTTGGCGTGAGGATTTCACGTCCAGCACGTCGTGGAGTCAGATGATCCTCCTGTTGCTCTGTCCTCACACACTTCTGGTGTGTGAGGTGTAACCATCACAGCATTAGGTTGCTTAGTTTCTCCTTGTTGGTAAGGTGATGTGTTTTTACTTACACTCTTGTATGAAGTTGCTGTGCTGTTTACAAGGGGGCACTGATACACAGCACCTTTTCTTGCTGATGGTGTCCCTCAAGCTGTACTAATGCCTTTACTCCTAAGGTTGAGGATGTGCCATCAAGTAGTTTGAAGCATTCTGTATCCTCAGCAAAGCCTTTGTAAAGTGAAAGATTAAAACATAAGGCAGCACTTATGGGTGTATTCTGATGGTGAAGTCATCATTTTATCCCATATACATGAGATTTGTTTGCCCAGTGTTAATGCTTTAAAAATTCAAATGATTTTATGAGCTGTTTTCCATGTGGTGCTTCTTTAGAAATGGAGCCTCAACTGTTGTCACAGCAATATTTGGAGGAATTCTCCAGAATGAGGTCAACTGCCTCATCTGTGGGACAGAGTCAAGGAAGTTTGATCCATTCCTAGGTAAGGGATACTGGCCAGAGTATGTGGTGCCGTGGTTTGGTGGGTGTTTTGATATTTTTTTTTTTTTTAAGTAAATCTGTAGTGAAGTCAAATGTCTTTTACAGCTTGAGTTCTCTTCTTTTAAGATCTCTCCTTAGATATTCCAAGTCAATTCAGAAGCAAGCGCTCTAAGAACCAGGAAAGTGGGCCGGTTTGCTCATTACGAGGTAAGGGCATTTTAATGTTGCTTTCCTGTTAGAGCTCACAGTTGCTGCAGCCTTTTATCTGTATGCAGTTCACACCGTGTTGTACTTAGAGTACAGATCCGATAGTAAGAACACATGGTATGTCAGCGAAGGGTAAAATACTTAGGTTTCTCTTATTTTTATCTTTCTTTGTTATTGCGCGTGCACCCCCCCCCCCCCCGTAAGTCAAGGTTTTTCTGTGTAGCCCCATCTGTTCTGGAACTTGCTCGGTACACTAGGCTGGCCTCAAACTCACAGGGATTGACCTGCCTTCCAAGTGCTGGATTAAAGGTGTGCACCACCACACCTGGCCACCTCTTTTTATCTTTTTAATGTTGACTTTTTATAGTCAAATGAAACAGAATTTAGCTTATCCCACACATAGCTACAAACAAAGGGAAGAATACTAACTGGAGTTTAGTCAGTTAAAACAATAGTTTCAAAAACAACGGATACAATATCTAGGTAAGTCCCAAAGCTGGCTTTTAATGGGCAAGACCATCTACTGTGGGAGATTTTTGAACTAATTTTTTTCTTAATGAGTATCAAGTAATCAAACAAAAACACCTAGTTGAAAATTAAGGCGACAAGATCCAGATGGCTATATAGAAGCGCCTTGTATGCAATTGGGTACATAAGGAAACTGTGCAGCCCTGGCTGTTCTTACAAGGGCTGAGATTCAAGGCCACATGTCCCCACAGTCATTAGAAAAAGTGTATTTTGAGGAATGATGTGTGAGGGGGCAGGAGAACTCTAGAAATTGTCATCAAGAGTCAGAAAGGCAGCAGACGAGGACAAAGCAAACTGTAGCATTTCAGCAGTCCTTGCAGGGCCCTCCACTGCAAGGGAGAGGGGCAGGAAAGTGCCAGCAGCCCCTCTGCAGCAGACCACAGGAGCAACTCACTGCCACCCTAGAATCCAGGCTGCTCAGCAGCCACTGCTAGGCCACCATCCCACCTCAGAGAGTAGGCAGCAGCTCTTCTGAGTCCCACTTACACCTGCTAGTGCCCAAACCCCAGTGTTGTTATTGCTGTCTCCCAGGAAAACAGAAGAAGTTCCAGCCTGAGACCCAGAACACAGCCTGGTATCACTTGGATTTACCATGTAGGAACCAGAGAAGCTCTGACCTTAGTTTTAGGACCTCAGCTAGAAAGCTGTGTAACCCACAGTTGTCCCTCAGATCAGAACAGTAGTCAGCCATGTCCTGGAGTTCCAGAACTGCAGACAAAGCCACACACTCTGGCACCCATGCTCGACCTGCATACACGGTGGGTGAACACTGTACAAGAAAGTGTGTGAGACTTAAAGGGCCCTCGGCAGTGAACAGTGTTAAATCTCCATAAAGAGGGCTTCCTGCGAGCAAAGGAAAGGTGAAAGGCACTCAGAACTTTTCAAGTCTCCAAAGAGACACTAGACTCCCACACGTACTAGAAGCTTAGAACAGCCAAGTTCAGCAGAAAAAAAGACCATACCAAAGGTGTGTTCTAGTGAACGTGTTAGAAGTTCAAAATACTTGTGAAGACAGCAGGAGAAAGTCACGAGGGGAACACTTCAGCTTTACAGTAGTTCTCACAGCAGAAGCTAATAGACCAAAATGGAGTCAGAATTGTATTCCAACAACAGTGTTAGCTGAATCATGAAAAACACATCATGAACTCACATTTGCATGACAGACAACTACCAAATTAAAAAGAGAAAGATGAAACAAAAAGACACAAAACAAGCAGAAAACCACCAATGACTGAAGGAAATTTACCTATCAGTAGTAATTTTAAATGGAAATGGGTCAAGTTAGTCCAGAGACAACATACAAAGTAGATCTAAAAATCTAATTAACTCACAAACATATCACACCACTGTTTTTAAGAATCCATTCAAACACTTGCTCATTCTCCAATGTATCCCCCTCAGTAAATTTCTCTAGTTAGAATGTCCCAATTTTCCTGAAGCCATGGTGCTTCACTTAGAGGTCTAAACTGCCACTGCCAATGTAACTTACTCTTTTTCTAAATGGTTCTTAATGCTTACATACCCAGGAAGGTGAATTCATGTGTATACTATGAAAGAAACAGAACCAAAAACCCTACAAAGTACAACTACAAAACATGGTTGAAATGGGGACAGCTTTGTAACCTCCTTTATGATGAATATGAACTTTTGCTGACTTTGCAATGTAGCAGTTTTCAAGTTCTAACTTCGTTGCCTACAAGTAATACACTTCACTGGTAAAGATGCATGTAGATCTAAAGAAAGAGCTGAAAAAAGACATGCGTCCTTATATCCTAAGGAATAGATCAACTCAGAAGATTTAACAGTTACATATACCTCAGATGAAACCACCAAATATTTAAGGCAGATATTATTTCTAAAGGGAGAATATACTCCAGGATAATGATCCCTGGAACCTCAGACTGACGGGACCTCTGAGTGGAGCCATACTCTGAAGCAGAGGAGCATTTACAGGATATTTGCTGCAGTGCAGAGTACACATTCATGTTCATGCAGCATTCTCTAGGAAAGATCAGGTACTAGGCCAGAAATACAAGTCTCAGTGTGGTGGTCCATGCCTGTAATCCCAGCAAGGAAAGTCAGGAAACTTTCACATTTTCACATTCACTGAGGCCTGCCTGGGCTATGTGGATGAGACCCTGTCTCAGACAAAACAAAGAAGTCACAACAGAGTGAAACTGTAAATTAAGAAAGGAGACTATAAGCTGGGCGGTGGTGGCACACGCCTTTAATCCCAGCACTTTAATCCCAGGCAGAGGCAGGCGGATCTCTTTGAGTTCAAGGCCAGCGGGGTCTACAAGAGCTACTTCCAGGACAGGAACCAAAAGCTAAGGAGAAACCCTGTCTCGAAAAAAAAAAAAAAAAGCCACGCCATAACCAAGTGGGAGTCATCCTAGGGATGCAAGGACGGATCAGCATACTCAAACCAATAAATGTGATACACAATAGTAACAAAATGAAGGACAGTATCCCTGCAGTCATCACAAAAATGTAGAGAAAGCATTTGATAAATTCTCAACACGTTAGAAATGGTCACAGTACCAAAGGCTGAATAGTAATAAAAAGGTATATGACTGACATATAAAGACAAGTGGAAGAACTTAAGAAATTAGTCCATGTTGATACAGTAACTACTTTTTGACAAAGATGCAAAAAATTTAGAATATAAAAGACAGCCTTTTTGATAATGGCAAAATTGTATCCATATACAGAAGATAACAGAAGAATGAAACTAAAGTCTTCTCACTGAATAAAATTGTCAACTCAAAATGATCACCTCCCCCTTTTAAACCACTTTCATCAGTTAAATGCACTTTCTAGATGACTAGAGCCATGTTGAATTTTATTACACAGAGATTACTAGAGGACTCTATTCAAGTCCTCTCCTTTCAAATGAATTTGTATTTTATGCCCGGGAGTCTTCTGTCAGTGAAGTCCTGCCCTCGAGTTACCAATCCTATTGTCCTGACACAAATGTGTATTACATTTATGTATGTGTGGAGGTCAGAGGACAACTTGGAGGAATTTGTTCTCTCCTTCTGCCATGGGGTCCCTAGCATTCATACTCAGGTGTTAGCCTTGGCAGCAGGCACCTTTACCCACTGAGCCATCTCACTGGCTCTAGATCATAAGATTTATCCTTAATGGCACTAATCTTCCTAACAGCACAGTCTCTTTGTTCAATCTACTTCAGAGTTTCAAATCTGCACACATACCCCGTCACCAAATTGCACATGTTCTTATGTTTTCTCTCCATCACTGTAGATCTGGCCAAAGCAGTGAGCCATAGCTCTGTGCTACATACAGCCTGTATACTACACTGTTTTGAAATGTGCTCCACCAAATAAGCTAGTCCACAACATAATTCAGCTTCACTCAGGGTAGTAGGACAAAAGCAGATGTTGCAGTTTGTAGCCTGTGTGCCCATTTCCAGCAGAGCCCTTGAACTGTACCGTCTGCATTTCTGTTGGTGTTCTGATCTGCCAGAATAATTCTAGCGCTTCTCTACCTTATGCTCGTATATTCTTTCTACAAACCAGTTCTAAAGGCCCACAAATCAAGAGATCATATTTATCACAACAAAGACAACATTTCTTGGTAACACTTTTTTCTGTCTTAACTTTGCTCACTGCTGTGGTAGCAGCACAGAGGAGAAGGGCTTTATTTTGACTCATGGTGTAGGAGGTCACAGTCCATTCTGGTGGGCAGGGCACAGAAGCAGTGGCAGCTTCTTTCTGTGGCAAAACTTAATATGTAACCTAATAGCTTGTGGACAGAGCTCACACAGGTCCTGCAAGGCCAATTCCCTAGTAGCCCACCTCTTCCTGCCAGGTTGCACAGCCTGCCCAAACAGTGCCATGGTCAGTTAGGGACCAGGTGTTCAAATCATTGTTTCATGGTGGAGTGTTTCACATTTAAGCCATAACAACCTGGGAAACCTGCTAAAAGTTTCAGCCTCTTCTCGGGGATGAAGCCACCCAGCAGACCTGAACAAACCACAGAAGAGGAAAGAGTGGACTGTCACCATTTGCAGATGAAGTGATTATAGACCTAAGACATTCTGAGCATTTTTGCTCGCTCACTTGCTCACTCTCAGTCCCACATACAGAACCAGATGTCTTACACGTTACATATGCACTCGACCACTGAGCTCATCCTTCGGTACTCAGAATTGAACCTAGGGTCTTGGGCATGCTAGGCAAGATCTCTACCATGAGCTGCATCTCCAGCCCGATAACTAAATCCTAAACACAGAGACCGAAAAGCTTAGTGAGGTGGTCACATAGGATATGGAGGAAGAGTCTGGAAAGATGGCCCAGTGGTTAAGATCTCTGGCTGCTTTTCCAGAGGACCTGGATTCAATCCCCAGAACCCACATGGTAGCTCACAACTATGGGCCATCCAGTACCCTCTTCTGGCTTCTTGGGGTACTGCAAATTCATGATACACGTACATGAAGACAAACACCTATACACACAAAATAAAAAAAAAGAGGGAAAAAAAATCAATTTTGAACACAACAAAAGACTCCCTATATCATAAGTATTCAACAAGCAAAAATATGCAAGACCACTGGGCATGGCCGAGAATCCTGATAATCCCATGACTTGTAGCTAGAGCAAGAGAATTTTGAGTTTGAGGGTAGCCTGAGTTACATAAAAGGAACAAATGACCTAGAAAAGAAATAAAAGCCTCAACCATGCTATGTGTGTGAATACCCAGCATGGTAATAGCACAAAATTAAACCCTAATTTTGTTCAGAAGTTTTCTGTAGGCAGACATTCCTTACAAGAAGCTAAATAAATCAAATGGAGGCAAGATAGAAATTGGGTAAGAATGTCCTAAAAGTGCTAAAACTGCACTTGTTAGTACAAAATTGTATGCAGAACCAAGTTAGACAACAGGCAGTTTCCAGAAGCAGCAGCATCCTGAGGCACAGCCCTAGGAGTCACCTGGCTCTAGAACTTGCTAGAGCAGTTCCTTCACATCCAGGGCTGTGATTCACACAGGGCACATCACAACAAGTTGCAAGTTTCAATTTCAGGCAGCAGGTGGGAGGTGACTCTTGAGAACATGTGCCCAGTTTGTCTTGGTGGATGCTCGGCCAGAGCTCTTTTGTTAAATCACTGCTTGTTGCCCGAAATTGTTAACAAAACTTGGCATAGATTTAACCCCAGTGACCTCCAGGAGGTTAGGGCTGAACGATTTGTTTTGATGTGGTGAATACAGAGCCTAACATCAATAGTTGCACCAAAGGAACAGTCACAGAGTATTATAAAAATTGTTGATGAGAGTATGTATATGCGTGTATATGTAGAACGATGAGATTTTTGTATAGTAAAGAAGTGTTCGTGCCTTCATTTTTCATGCGTGGGACTAGAGGTTGAATCCAGACACTTGCACATAGGTAGGCAAGCACACCACTGAACTATGTTTTATATTGGAATATTAAGTTACCGACTCCCTCACAGTGCCGAACCCAAGTAGGCCTTGAACTTCTTACCCTCTTGTCATACTTAGTCTCTTAAGCAGCCAGGTTAAAGCCTGCACCATTAGGTATGGTTCATGAGTATTAAAATTATTTCTAACAGGAAGTGTGATCCAAGAAGAGATAAAACTGTGATTTCCCCCCTTGAAACATATTTATAATTACATAATTTTTAAAGGCAATAAAATGTGTACCCTGTATACTTTTCAACTGCTAGTTTGATAAATTAACTTTGCAGAGTACATAAAAGGTGATCTAATGAGTAAAACAAACCAGTGTTATTTCCTTCTCTCCATGGAGATGCTGTCTGACAGTTTCATATGGAAAACTGCCAGTTGTGAAACATAGGCCCTCAAATGTGAGAATCCTGAGTTTCAAAAAGTGGTGTGGCTTTCCCTCTAGAAATGCAATAGAGGGGGCTAGAGAGATGGCTCAGTGGTTAAGAGCACTGCCTGCTCTTCCAAAGGTCCTGAGTTCAATTCCCGGCAACCACATGGTGGCTCACAACCATCTGGAATGAGGTCTGGTGCCCTTTTCTGGCCTGCAGACATACACATAGACAGAATATTGTATACATAATAAATAAATAAATATTAAAAAAAAAAGAAATGCAATAGAGCCCTGTCAGCACCTTCCCCATCCTTAACTGGAGGTGAGCAGACAGCAAGGAAGCTCTACCAAGATGCAGGTGCTGCCGGTCAGTGGCTCACTGGCCATGCAGTTGATTCACATACAGGCTCTCACAGAACACACCAGTGCATTTCAGGCCCACGCAGGGACAGCACTCACTTCTTTGGACAGAGATGTCTCTAGGTATGCAGTCTCTTAAAGTGTCTGTGTGTGTGTGGCCTTCCTTAGTATAGAAAAGTATGTTCTGAGCTGGCACAGCAGTTTAGCTGACAAAGTACAAGGCTCTAAAAGGTTTGCTTCACAGGCAGCACCCAGAAGCCATATAAAAATGCCAGGCATGCCTGCAATCTCAACACTGGGGAGGAAGACAGAGGGGGTCTTTAGAACTTGGTGCCAGTCAATTTAGTGAGCTCCAGGCCAAAGAGTCAACCTTTTTCAAAAGAAGTGGATGACATTCCTGAGAAGAACATCTTAGGTGGTACTCCTGCCTCTGTATACACTAGTGCATGTATACACAGGCAGATACGGACACTTTTTTTTTTTTTTTTGGTTTTTCGAGACAGGGTTTCTCTGTGGTTTTGGAGCCTGTCCTGGAGACATTTTTTTTTTTTTTTTTTAAAGACACACGTTAAGTCTAGAATTTGGGGAAAACTGACCAAACAACAACAAAACCCCCTAGAAGAACACAAACACTCTTTAGCCTATCACCCCGTTTTATCTTAAAGATTTGGGTATTAAATGGCTGTCTACATGTAGCAGTACTGCTTGTCCCAAACTCTGTCCCTCCTGCCTTTGCTCTCTGTCAGGTGTGAACACTGGGACTGTTCCTGGTCTCCCTAGGCAGTCAGGTGGGGTCCCCTCTTCTCTGCTGCTGTGAGCATCAGCACTTTACTCACAAACCCCTGCTGGAATCTGTTGGAACTGCATTGACTGCGGTTTTGGAAGGAGGGAACAGCCTGGCAATGTCTTCTGCCGCTGTACTTTAACTTCTCTATTAGTCTTGTAGGATTTTCTACATATAAAATCATCGTATTTGCAGGGTTTAATTTTCCTCTCCACTTTAGATTGTTTTCTGTTTTTCTTGCCTCTTTGCTCTGGCTGAAACTTTAAGGGTCATGTTGAATACATGTGGCAAACATGGGGTCCTTGTCTTGTTTATTTTTACTAGGGTGGGATTTCACCCTGAAGTTGTTCATATGTGGCTTTTATCACGAGGCCTCATCTAGTCTTGAGTGTTAGACAGTGATTCTGAATACGGGAAATTATTTTCTTTCCTCATTCCACATCCTTTCTCCCATGTCCCTGAACCCTGCCACAGCCAGCTTTTTACATGCTGCAGCACACGCTGGTTGATTAAAAACATCCATGGTTAGCTTCAAAACTCAAGAGCACCATAGAGATCAGTCTAAAGGGAGTCATAGTGCAGCCACTGATCTCTATAGCTACAGAGCGTGGTGCTTAAGAGGCCCATGATGATACAGCACCCTATATTATTTATAAATTCTGGGAGGCTTGCTCTAGGAAGGGTAAAGCTGAAACAGTATGTCTTCCCTGAGGATCACTGGGATAATAGGAGGGGATCAAGCTGAGGAAGGTTTAAAGGAGGAAGTTGAGAGGGAGCCTAGATATATCTAGAAGGTATTGGGATCTTGGAACAAAAGCATAGTCACGGATGCATGGGCCTCACGACTCAGTGGCCCATCAAATACAGGCCACACCTAGGTTCCTTCTAGACTTTGCCCTGTCCAGTTTTTCCAAAGAGGCTCTTACTGGCATTAGAGACCAAGGATGATTCTGACCTTTAACTTTTGAGAATAGTGACATCATTGCCTTCCCTTGCCCATCTAGATTTCTGCTTGCTACCCATTTTACCAAACTAATCCAGTATTTTAAGAATACCGTCTAAGCTGGGTGGTGGTGGCACACACCTTTAATTCCAGCACTCAGGAGGCATAGGCAGGCGAATCTCTGTGAGATCAAGATCAGCCTGGTCTACAAGAGCTAGTTTCCAGGACAGGCTCCAAAGCTACAGAGAAACCCTGTCTTGAAAAACAAAAAAACAAAACAAAAAAAACAAACAAAACAAAAACCAACAACAAGAAGAATACAGTCTATAATACAGAGACAAGCAAAGAAATTAACACCGCAGCCAGGGGTCACAGACAGATTGAGGAAATATCTGGCCTGGTGGTGGCCCACAGCTGCACAGGTGTCTACCCCATGGCTCTACCAGATGCTGTGCGCACAGACTCTGGCTTCTCCCTACAAGACAGAGTCAATTTCTTGCCCTGAGAATTGGGTATACAGACATTGTATTTTTCCACTAAGTAACATGTATCTTCTGCAGATTTCTAAGTTACTAACTGCAGCAGGAGTCCAGAAAGTTCCCTGCACAGGCCCAGTGAGCATAGAGGCCTTGCATCTGCTTTTGCAGCATAAAAACAGCCAGACCACATGCAAACAGAGCCAGGGTGGCTGGAATGATCTAGCTTAGGACCATAGTTTACCAACCCCAGATTAAACAATTAAAACCTTTTAATGCCTTATCTAGGGGCTCAGAATGATAGGGATGTAGAGTAGCTTTAAGATCGGAACATTTGATTTAAATCTGATTCTATGTGCTTGGGACACACACTGAGAGGAAATAGCTGTTGAAGTGTTGATTTCACTAGGACTCCATCTTTATTAGGATTTACAGATGAATTCTGCAAAATGTAAAGCTAGGTATTTTGAACATGGTCTTTCTTCCCAGCAAAAGTTTCTGGTCTCGAGTTTGTTCCCAGGGATGGCTGATTTTTAGTTATATAGCTGAAAACCATGAGCTGGAAACTTGGGTCCTTTTGCTTCAAGTTAGTCTTTCCACACGCTGCACTGCTGCTCTTAAGTCACCTCATTTTAATACGCTGTCAAAAACACTGATTGTAGATTGTCTACGAAGCTTCACCGACCTAGAGGAACTTGACGAGACAGAGTTGTATATGTGCCACAAGTGCAAAAAGAAACAAAAGTCCACAAAAAAGTTTTGGATTCAGAAACTTCCCAAGGTCAGTGATGTATTTTACTTAGGGTGCATTTATGGAGAAGATACCTGGGAGGAGAGTTAGATTATTAGCTGTCAGCAGTTCTGGGCTGGTCTGTGAGGTTTGCAGTCAGAGCTGAAACCTGGTCATTTATAAGGTGCACTGGAAGAGAGCAGTATCGGGGTTAGAAGGAAAACTGGGCATCTGATATACTGAGCCGACAGTTGGGCAGTCTGAAAGGCAAGCTCAGGGTCCTCAGTCTCTGTCCTCATCTGTCACCAGGTGCTGTGCTTGCACTTGAAAAGGTTCCACTGGACAGCGTATTTAAGAAACAAAGTTGATACATACGTAGAATTCCCGCTGAGAGGCCTGGACATGAAGTGTTACCTACTAGAGGTAAGGCAGCCTGGAGAGAATTCTTCACAGCAGGCACTGGGCTGTCCTTGACAACTGCTGCTAACTCAGCTCCTGGTGTCCTCTGCTTTGTTCTGTAGCCAGAGAATAGTGGCCCGGAGAGTTGCCTGTATGACCTCGCTGCTGTGGTGGTGCACCATGGCTCTGGGTAAGTTGTCAGCTCCGTGGAGTTGGGAGTCTTTAGAAGCCACGCAGGATGGCCTCACTGAGTGTCCCTGCACTCCCTAAAAGTGGGTGCGGAATCACTAACTGGACGAAGTGTCCACTGTGGAGCACTCCTGAGAAGAAGCCGTGAGGCATGAAGGCAGAATTGGGAGAAAAGTGGCTCCTTATGCTAGTTCAAATTTAAGTAATCATGTCATCTAATTTAAAGATTCATTTTTAGTTTTGTAGAATAAGGTTTTTTCTTTTCTTTTCTTTTTGTTTTTTCTAGACAGGGTTTCTCTGTGGTTTTGGAGCCTGCCCTGGAACTAGCTCTTGTAGACCAGGCTGGTCTCAAACTCACAGAGATCCGCCTGCCTCTGCTTCCCAAGTGTTGGGATTAAAGACATGCACCACAACCACCCAGCATAAGTTTTTTGTTTTTTTTTTTTCTTTTCTCTGTGCTGGAAGCTTGGTTTACCCTTCTGATTTCTAATCTGATAAAGAATAGTTACTTTGCTTTCAAACTTGGATCAGTGTATTTGGGCAAGCCATCACCCATATCACAAACCCTTTCCCTCTATGTGTGGACACTCTCCCACTGATCTGTCAGCGGGGAGTCTGGGGGAGCCTGAGTCCCACCGCATTCTATAATGTTGCGTCTAAGTTGGTAGGCCTCTCTTAGACATAAGAAAATCAGGTGGGGGGCTGGAGAGATAGCTCAGTGGTTAAGAGCATTGCCTGCTCTTCCAAAGGTCCTGAGTTCAATTCCCAGCAACCACATGGTGGCTCACAACCATCTATAATGGGGTCTGGTGCCTTCTTCTGGCCTGCAGGCATACACACAGAATATTGTATACATAATAAATAAATAAATATTAAAAAAAAGAAAATCAGGTGGATTCTGAATTAGTAGGTAACAGGGACACTTGTAGTGTCTTTACTAATGGAAGTATTTTTATATTCAACCTTACTATTTTTGTTCCTGGAATCCCTCTGGGACCCTCTCTACCACGGCCTGCACTGCCAGTCTGCAGTCACATGTCTGTGTGTTTGGCAGTTGTGCTTTTGCCCTGTCCTTGTTTTATGGTTGCAGTGTCTTCCTGACACTGTTAGCCTTGTGCAGGGGTCCCCGGGTGTGTCTCATGCTTCCCATTTTGTTCTCATCTCTAGAGCTGTGTCTTTCCCCGTATGTGGGGAAGCCAGACTCTGCCAGGGGTCTCTGTGGCAGCTGTCAGTCCTCAGGTGCTCTCCTCACCCGGCAGAGCCCTTTGTGACCGTGTCATAGCGGAGACGACAAGGCACACTGACTTCCCCGGTTTTCAGACAAGAACTCTGGCATCAGGTCTGCATGTTTTCCAGAGCCTTCAATGCACACTTACGAGGCTGTCCGCAGCTCTCGTTTCCGCACTGCCGCGGTGCCATCTGCTGTGCAGTCTAGAAACTCATTTTTGGTCAGTTTTGATGTGCTCTTTGGTTCTCAGTGTCAGTGTATTCCTTGTCTGTGGGCTTAGATGGAGGTAAACACAAGAACTCACCTGACCATGTCAAACCAGAGGTTCTCCAGGATTCATTCCTTGATTACTGCCCTTATTAACCTCTAATACTGCATGGTTGTAAAGATCCATTAGTGATTTCTGTAATCTCTTATCATTATTGAGACTGGGTCTCACTGTGTAGTTTCCTTTATCTGTTGCCTTTTCTTTACAGGGTTGGTTCTGGACATTACACAGCATATGCAACTCATGAAGGCCGCTGGTTCCATTTCAATGACAGTACTGTGACCATGACTGACGAGGAGACCGTTGGGAAGGCGAAGGCCTACATTCTGTTCTATGTGGAGCGTCAGGCCAGAGCTGGATCAGACAAACTTTAATACTTCCTCTGACCACAGTTCAATTGTACCGGACAGACATTTCCAATTTTCCATAAATACTTGATCCAAGAGTTAATTTCGTTATGCACTTTTTCAATTTCCAGTTTGGGGTTTAGTTTGGTCAGTGGTAGTGACTTACTCAATATGGGCACCAACTAATTTTTGTTGTTGTTCTACCAGAAAACCTCAGCAGGCATCTTGATTGGCTGCTTTAGTTGTAATAACTCAAGTTTTCTATGTAGTTTCCAGGACTTAGTTCTGTTTGACTTTTTATATTAACGTTTTCAGTTCTCTCCAAGGCACATGCGCTCTGTCCTCACATTCTGGGAGCCACCCCACTTGCTGCCTTTCATAGCAGTCAGGATCGTGTGTGCAGGACCTGTGGCCACGGTCTCACAGTGACTGCTCAGGAATTCCTTCTGACTGTAGGCGGTAGCTACTGCCTGTGTCTCTGGGCTGCTGTTTCTCAGCGTTCAATAAACCTGTCCGTTCTGTTGCATCCATGATGAAGTCCCAGAATCACTTGATTTCTTGTTTCTGTTCTGTTAGTATTTTCTTTGAGCAGATTGGCTAAGAACGCTGACTCGGCTTCGTGGTAGAGGTACATTCCATGAAGCAGTTCTGTTTGCCCAGCAGAGGTGAGGTTGCCGTCCAGAGTGGACAGTCGCCTGCCGTCAGGTGCTGCTGTGGCGCCTTCCAGACACAAGTGGAGTCAGCATTAGCCTGAGAGCAGAGCCAGGTGAAAGTATTTTTGTCTCTGAACAAGAAATAGCTTCTATTCTTGAATTCAGTAGCTTAAAAAAAAATTACTGTTCGCAAAAATATGTAGAAGTACTATTTGGATTTAACCCAAATTGAAATTTGGCCCATTTAAAGAAGGCAGCTAATGGCAAGTGCTGGAAGCCAGTGATTGGATTTGGGGATGGAGGTAATGCAGCCTGCAAGTCAAGAGTACAGAGCTCCAACACAGCTTGTTCCGTGGTCATCTCTGAAAGGGACAAAATGTACTTCATGCAGACTTTTTAGCAATCTTATTTTTCTATTTAGAGAAGAGTTTGGTAGCTTTCCTTGGCTACTGTGAAGCTGATGGAGCACACACAGCCCAGTTCTGCTTTACTATCAGCCGGATAAATCCTGCATTCCCTCCGAGCAGAAATGACATACTGGATCAGCACTTCAATACAGACCTAACGTGAACCCATCAGGACAATGGCCACATTTCTCAGTCACAGTAGTCATGGTCCCAGTGCTGGATGCAGGCCAGTGCCTTTTCTACAGGGCATGGGTTCTCTTGCACAACACTGACAAAAAAGTGGCATTGTGTTTCTGTGAGAAGCCGTGGAGCTGTGCTGAGTTACATGAGGTAGAGGCACGTGCGGTTATCTCTGTCCTGCTGGTTTGACCCACAGATGCAGGTGATACAGCTAAGCCTGACTGTGAGTCTCATCTGACCTTGAACAAGCTCGTGCAGATCCAGACCCTTCTGCCTAGAAGGGAGACTCTAGACTCTGAACAATGGCATTTGTGTCTTGGCCTCTCAATGGGCCAAGACTCAGACGGAGCAGCTGCTGTTGTCCCAGGTGGAACACAGTGGCAGATTGGACTGTTTTGTTGACATACAAGGGGAATGCATCATCTCTGGGAATTTTTGTAGTTTTTTTTTTTTTAATTGCTTGATTTTACTTAAGTAACAATGTCTGAGTGGCGCCATGAACTGTACCCATTTGCATTGTGCATCTGAGCATCCATGATGTAAATGTGCCTGTATTTTAAATCTGTGTAGCCTTATCACACCTGTTAGACAAGCTCATCTTTCTGTGCTGTTTACGGCTTTCCCTGTACCATGCATTCCAGCCTGCATGCAGCTTTTTGCTCAGAGTTTATGCTGAGGCAGGACCTCACACATACCCTGTCCCATCAGCCCTTGGGAACAGGAAACTCCAAGTCCTCCCACACAGGTGGGGATAGAAACAGTTTGTGGCAACACAAGTCTCTCTCCATGGTGGAGAAACCTATGCTTATCCACTGTATTCTACTCAGTGTGTAGTGACGACAGATGATCAATTAAACCAGTCACATGTGCTGGCCCTGGTTGAGTGTCGTGTGTCAAACCTGTGGAACCTACTCAACGTTATCCCTTAAAGCCAAACTTCCCTTTCTTTGGTTTAATATACATAACTGGTCACCCGTTGTTACCTCCTGGTCCCTTGAGCTCTCTCATGTCCCTCCTACTGCTTGAAGTCCTCTCTTGATCAAGCTCTGGGAGGGCTCAGGTAAGAACTGACTCCAGAGCCAGAGCATGAGTCCACATGTGTCTGACTCACCGCTGGGCAGTATCCACAGGTGAATGGTGGCTTGCCAAGATCATGTACATTAAAACTAGTAGTTCTTATGATGCCTGGAGGAGATCGCTGTGCTCATGATTCATTTGTTCTCACTGAAATCCTGTCCTGGTCCCGCCGCAGCATCTGGGCTGTTAGGTGGAAAGTGGCATTAAAGGAACCTCCTCTTTCCTGTGTTACTCCTGGGTTGTTTCCAGTGGAGCTAAGCAGTGGCAGAAGCAGGCAGCAGGGGTCGTCCTGTAGCTTACATGGGCAGGAGGAAAGGTGGGTGGCCATACGGGGTTCTGTACAGTCTTTTTAGGGAAAGCCGCTGCTGTCTTGTTTCTCGTGGTGTTGTATAAAGAGCAACTTGGCTAGTTCCAGCTCTGAGCACAGCAGCGCCTGTGCAGCCACGCTACACGCTCCTCCGAGGCAGGGCCGCTGGGCGTGCTTGCGTCTAAACCCACCAAACTTGCAGTTTACTGCAAGTCATTTACAACTAAGTATTCAAAAATAGAAACTGAAAAAGTTGCCTCTGTCCATCCTCACATTTTGGGAAATACCTTCTAGGACAGATAATGAAACCATGCAGATGTAGGCACACATTTGTAGGCCTACATAGAGAACATTCCAGCTCAATCTTCTAGGAAACAGTTTAGGGTAAAAATAGACGCCTTTGGGCCAAGAAAAGCCTTTTCGCAGAAAGGGCACCGGGATCTGAAGATAGCTCTGCCTCGCCTGGAAGCCATCGATCTCCTGAGCTTAAGTAACAGAAAAGAAACATGACCCTGGGCTTCCACTCACAGCTCAGAATGTGTCGCCTCCCTTAGCTCAGGGGATTCGACTGGCCTCTTCAGAGCAAGAACAAACAGGAGCCACACAGACACACTCTGAGGTCTGACAGTTAACCATCTTGCCAGAGAAAGACTGAAAGTCTGGAAGGGCTGTTGTGACCAATCACCTCCAATGAAAACACCTTGAAAAGCCAAGAGCCCTGTGCTCAACAGGACTGTCAGCTCAGAGGGGGAAAAAAACCTTTTAAGGAAACTTAAACTTCAGTGGGCTGCTCTTCTGCCAGGACTTTGAGGCCCTCTGAACATAAGCCGGACCACAGATGGCTGTGCGTAAGTCTGGATCCTGACACCCGCCCTCCCCACCCCGAGCCTCAGCACCAGTTGTTGGCCAAAAATAAACACCATTCCTCAACCATATATGTCCACCAGTCCTGATCTCAGGAAGCAGGAGGCAGGTCAGACCCTTGCCGGGCGGGCACACTCACGTGAAGCAGCCGCTCAGCATGCACATAACCCAGCTCAATCGGGAGTGCCTGCTGTGCCTCTTCTCCTTCCTGGACAAGGACAGCAGGAAGAACCTCTCCAGGACCTGCTCCCAGCTCCGAGATGTGTTTGAGGACCCCACCCTCTGGCCCCTGCTGCACTTCCATTCCCTCACAGAGCTCAAGAAGGACAACTTCCGGCTGGGCCCTGCACTGCGCAGCCTGTCCATCTGTTGGCATTCCAGCCGCGTGCAGGTGTGCAGCATCGAGGACTGGCTCAAGAGTGCCTTCCAGAGGAGCATCTGCAGCCAGCATGACAGCCTGGTTAACGAGTTCCTCCTGCAGGTGTGCGACAGGTAGGCCACCTCACCCCCTTGCAGTGTGGCCTTGCTGGCCTTGGCTTCGGGGACAGGGAAGCACACATTCCAAGAGCAGTGTGGCTCTGACTGAGTCTAAGGCAGACAACCAGTGCCCAAGAGCTGGGTAAAATCAGCTCCCTCTCAGTCTCAGCTCCTGAAGCTGCTGCTAAGGCAGAGCAGCTGAGGTTCAGCTGGCCTGTCCTTGGAGCAGCTGGCTCACTGGCAGCCGTGAAGGGTTGGTTGGGTCCAGCTGAGCCTGGAATTTTAAGGTCAAGTCCTGGGAAAAGACTCTAGAGGCATCTGTGGAGCCAGGCCTCTCATTTGGCCCAAGCAGCCCCCCATGGCCTGAGAATTGCTAATGAGGAAGGAGAGCCAAGTGCTCAGGTGAGCTGGGCTAAAGCCTGTTGCAGAGTAGCGGTGAGTGTCTCTGAGGAACACACTCGGTCTCGCACAGTACCCAGGGAAAGTGTTTCAGTTGTCAGAGAGGCAAAAGGGATGCTCCAAGACATAGTACTCACTATGGGGCTACCAGATTTTTAGCAAATATATACCACCCGGTTAAATTTGAATTTGAGATGAAGCAACTCATGCCTTGCAAACATTCCCTAATTGATCTTTTGACACCCCTGACCTCATCTCTTGCACAGGCAGGGCCCACCAAATGGGTTGGTCACACTTTCTTGTGTAGGAAGCTCTGGCCAACATGGCTTTGCCAGCAGTTGAAGGGAAAGCACTCTCTGCTAGCAAACCAGTTCCAATGGCTGCCAGCTGCTGCCACACAAGGTTAATAGCCACTGTTGGCTGGTCTCAGCACAGGTACAGGAAATAATTGCAGTGGCCTGCCTCTCCTGTGTTCTTTTCCTCAAGTTGGGTTTGGGCTTGGCTCTGACTAGACCAGGCCAGGCCAATTTGATAGGTTTCACAAAAAACCAGACTGCAAGGTGATGACCGAAAAGGGGAGTAGTATCACAACCCCAACTTGGTTCACTCTTGCTGGAAGGTAACCAGTTTAATCCTCCAAACCAGCAAAATTTGACTTCACAGGATCTGCCAAGCACTGGTCCCCAGTGTCAGAGAAGGTGCAAAGGGAGCTGGGTTTCCCCTTCTGATACCGTGCAACTGACCCCAGACCAAGTGCATAAACCTTTTTTTTTCCCTGCAAAATGAGAGAATTCTCTTATGTCACAGGTAAGAGGGTGAAGTGGCAAAGCAATACCTAGTCCACCGAAGAAGGGTAAAGTCAGACGGGCTGAAAGTCATCTGTTCTGGGTTCTCCTGCCTTAGTTAACCAGGCAATTTGCCGAGGTATTAAATGCACCTTAACAACAGTATCTGGCCCAAAGTCACCTGTCAAGTCACCTGAGCCACTCTCTTCATCTACAAAACTGGAGTAGCATGCAGGGGTGATCAGTGCTGAAGGCGCATGGACTTTGAGGGTGCCACGCCCAGGGTGTTTGAAGTTACTTTTATCTTCCTAGGCACGAGGGGGGTGTGCTGACAGGTGCTATGGGGTGTGGGAAGGAACCTAGTCCTCAGGTCCAGATCCCGCTCCTTGACTGCAGGGTCTAGGCCCACTGGAGGGAGGCTCTGCCAGGGAGGAAGCAAGATGACCCTCCTGGTCTCCAGAAAAGTGGGTATTGTCTGCCTGCAGTGGGGCTCTGCTCACTCAGACCTCAGTCCTCAGAAGCGCAGGGTACACACTGCCCACCCACCCACCCACCCACCCAGAAGCAAACTTTGGTTCAGTGATTGTGGCCACACTACAAATAAGTCCTCGGGAGTGTCTCAACTTCAGGGCCTGGCTCCAGCTGCCTGAGGTTCCAGGCAACCGAGCTGAAGGCTAGACACAACACTGTGTGGCTTTTTAGTCGTTAGCCATTACTCCAGGAGACTCCTCCGCCCCCAGAGTCCCCACCGTGCACGGCTTCCAGCCCCAGAGACTCAAGATACCGGCTCCAGCAGACACACAGGGGACCCTGACCGCGGCCCTACGTCTCCAGGGTGGGACTCCCGGGTCCTGCTGCACCTCGGCCCCGGCCCCGTGTCACCGCGCTTTCCCCGCAGGTGCCCCAACCTGGCGTCCCTCACGCTTTCGGGCTGTGGCCACGTCACCGACGACTGTCTGACTCGCCTGTTGCTCAGCTGCCCGCGCCTGCGCGTGCTGCGCCTCGAGAACTGCGCGCGCGTTACCAACCGCACTCTGGCGGCCGTGGCCGCGCATGGGCGCGCGCTGCAGACTCTGCACGTGGACTTCTGCCGCAACGTGAGCGCCGCTGGCCTGCTTCGCCTGCGCGCCGCCTGCCCAAGCCTGACCCTGAGCGCTGAGCACAGCGCGGCCATGATCCCCGACCAGCCGCTGCGCGCTCACGGGTGCGCCGCCTCGCTTTTCCCGGTCGCACCTGGGGGACGGTGCCTACCTCACCCGACGAGTTCCTGTGGAGGACGCGCGCGCGATTAAATGAGCGGATGTTTGTAAAGCACTCGGTGCTTCTTTTTATAGGTCCTTCCCGACCCCGCGGCTGAGCTGCGCACTAGGCTGGCGAGCAGCCTCTGAAGGGCGGGAGAAAGAACCCGAGCCTGGTGCCTCCCTAGCCGCGTATGCCCACACCAAAGCTTGATGCACAAGCCATTCTAGAAAACTCGCCCCTATCACTACATGACTGATAGTTACCAATTAGTTCTCCTATGGTTCTCACAAGGGAAAAATGCATCACTTTTTAAAAAGCCAACATTTAAAGATAAAAGTAGTAGTAGCCCTAGTTAAGTGCTTGGATATGGAACCATTATTAGCTGATGGGAAAAACAAAAACAAAACAAAAAAACTAAAGAACGAGACTTTCATTTCCTAAATTTCTGGCCGTGGGCCTGGACTTCAGGACAATCTCACTTTAGTTGTCCTATCCCTATGGTCAGGGCCTAGATAGGGACCGGACAAAGCAGGGTAAATGGAGGCAGTCAGGAGGTGGGCAAGCTCAAGTTCCACCGCCAGCTGTATCAAGATCAGTCATTTATCTGCAGCCAGGTTTTTCAGTTTTCTGTGAAAGTTTCCCGATTGTGACCCACAGGTTCCTTAATTTGTTCCCAAACGAGAAACAACATGAAAAAGAGAAGTTCTGTTCTGTTCCCCAGTCTCTATTCTAGTAGAGGAAAACTGGTCCAGAAAGTGGCTTGTGAGGCAGGATGGGGATGACTCAGATTAGGTTCACTCAGAAGGGGTTGACAATTATATCCCAAGAAGATGTTGTGAGCCATGAAAAGAGCCAGGGGAGCCCAGCAAGCCATATGGAAAGTTTACAGGCCAAGAAACTACAGGGTGCCAGACTAGGAACATGACTGAGGTGTTAGCAGCAGCAATGAGATCAGCATGGCTGGAGTAGGGAGGAGAGGAGTTGAGAACCCGATGGAGGGAGATGAAGGACAGATAATGGGGAGGGTTAAATGAGGCCCTGGAGGCCACCTCATGCCAGCAGGAACCAGGAGTCTGCGAAGTGAACTGATGTGGCAGGCAAAGCCTCCAAGTCCCTGTGGACTGCTGAGGGGCTTTCCTGCTGCTGCCAGGTTCTGAGCAGTGGCAGCACCTAGCCCAGAATCAGGACGACACACACACACTAGCCTTGGCCTTTTAATCTGTGGGAAAGTGTTGTTAGAAGTATACTCCATTCTGTTGGTCCCCTGGACCAGGCTTTCTTTGCCCGCCTGTTCCTGAAGCCACTTAGGAAATAACCACTCTGAGACTTAATATTAATTACATACTCTGTGGCCTATTAGCTCAGGCTTCTTATTAACTAACTTTTACAACTTAAATTAACCCGTAATTCTTAGCTATGTTTAGCCATGTGGCTTGGCATCTTTTCTCAGTAAGTCATGCTCATCTTGCTTCCTCTGCGTCTGGCTGGTGACTGCATCTCTGCCTTTCCTCTTCCCAGAATTCTCTTAGTCTGGTCATTCCTGCGTAGCTACTGGCCAACCAGCATTTTCTTAAACTAATCCGAGTGACAGATCTTAACAGTGTACAAGAGCATTATCCCACAGCAGGAAAGCCAGTGTGTCACCCAGGTGAGTGTTCCAACTATGATGATGATCTTCCCATTAGCAGGCAGATCTCAGGAAGCACATGGCACCTTCAGGGAAGGTGGGTGAGCCAGGGCAGATGTAGCTACCAGAACCGCTGGAAATAACCTTGGGAGCGATCTGTGCCTTCACAGGTTTTATCAGACCATATATATATATATATATATATATATATATATATATATATATATATTTTAACCAGCTCCTGGAATGCCTGTCTTTTTAATCTCCTTTTGGCCAAGATCACATACTAGGAAGCTGAGGTGAGTGCACAAGGGTTAGAGCCTGCATAAGGCAGACCACCTTCTTGACTGGAAACTGCCCCAAGAGCCTGGGGTCAGTAGAGACTAGGGCCAGGAATGCTTAGGTGGTGGTGGGTCACAGAGTCCCTGAAAAGTCAGTGACTTGTTTTATGGGGGCACATGCCAGTTACTCACTAGTTAAGCCTCCTGGCTTCTACCACAGTAGCGCTGTGACCCAGTGCTTTTCCTGAGGACGTAAAAGGAGACCACCTGACCCAGAGACCAACACAGGCCTTTTGATAGATATTGAGCTAACCAGACACTGCTTCATCTAGCAAAGGTGGATCTAGGAGGAGTGGAACAAACCCATGTTGCATGGACATCTGGGAAAAGCTAGACTTAATATCTATGCTTTCTTGAGATTGATTAAGGGCTTAAATATGCAAGTATTTGTTAATGAGACCAGCAATTAAACTATACAAATCTCTACAGGGGGTGAATGTAACCAAGGTAAACCAAATCCCTGTCCCTAGACCTAACTGCTGCTCCACAGACAGGAACCCTAGCCTTCAAGAAACCAGAGGGGGAAAAAAAAATAAAGCAAGTAGGTTTCCAGCCAAGAGACAGTATCTGCGTCTACGTAGACTCTTCCAAGGGATGAGTCTGAGAGTTAGATTTGGGCACCATCTCCCACCCTCTCCAGGCAGGGTAAATCTGCTGTTAAAGGCCAAAGCCCACAGGATTAAGGCTTTTTTTTTTTTCCATTAAAATGAACTGAAGCCTGCAGTGCATACCCTCAGCTCAGCAAGAGGGCTGAGCACTGCTTGTCACTAGGTTGAACCCAAGAGTCAAAGGGACTTTAATCTGATTAGCACAGAGATGCTGTCTCACCCTGGATGTGCTGAGGCTTTGCAGGAGGAATGGTGGTGCCAAAAAAGCTCTGCTCTTGGGTGAGGGAACAAAATGAGAGACCCAGGATGCCAGCAGAACAAAGGGAAGGAGGCATTCCAGCCCAGGCTTATCCCACCACTGTGATCCTCTGTAGTGCGGTAGTGCGCTTTTCAGATGAAACCTACCCCAGCTTCTGAGGCCAAAAAGCATCAGTCCCCACTCTGACTCCTGAATCTGCTTTATTTCTCTGCAGAAGGAACCCTGCACAGGCGAATCAAACTAAAACAAAATAAATATATGAATATTCATGTAAAACTGTCCTTTCTAATGAACAATTATACACAATGTACAATTTCATGTTCACTGGGCGGGCTTACAAAAATGTATCATTCCCAACTGAAAACGCATCAAATGGCTCCATGCAAACTTATCCAAAGTGACCAAAATACAGAGGGAACCTGACTGAGCAGTTTCTGCTTTTGTTTTTGTACAATCACAGAAAAATAAAAACATCTAATTTCTTTGTTTCATTTGAAGTAACTAAATGTGGCCACTGTTTATGTCAGTTTATGTTCCTAAAACATCTATGCAGTTACCATAAAAGTCTATCAACATCAACTTGGAAGTGAGCATTACTGAGGAGGGGCAACAGCACCCTCAGCGGTCAGTAGTCAGTGTCAGAGCCCTCGGCGTTGTCCACGTTTCTCGAGAGCATGTAGTTGTCCATGTCAATTGAACGGCAGTTGTTGATGGCATAGCGCAGGCGCTCAGCCATGACCAGCTGGCTGGAATAGGGGGGCAGTCGCAGCTGGAAGAAGCAGGTCTGTGAGGTAGGCAGACTGTCATAAGGCTGTGGAGAGACAGACCCAGAGAGCCATTACCCAGTGCACTGCAATACCAGAGAGCGTGGAGCTACCACCAAGACAGGAAAGGGCTTCTCCCTTACTTCAAGATAGAGTCCTAGACTGTGACCATCTGGCTATTTGCATGGAAGCAGAGATTAGTTAGGTCCTGGCAAAGGTACATGGGATCCATTGTCCTAAGACTTTCAGGCAAGTTACTTCCTCCAATGGCTCTGTGATATCAAGTGATAGCCCTAAGACTTCTTGGGAGAACACAGCACAGAACCTGTCAGACAGGAGAGTATGGTGAGAGTTCCCTCCTGCCTACCAAGGGGCACAGATTTGAGGTCATAGTGGGGTTCCCCCAACAAACAGGGTGAAGTGGAAGGAGCCAGGGTGCTGTCCACAGCACCTCATCAACACTGCACTGTGGTCTAAAGCAGCCCACTGCTGGTCACAGCCAGTGAGGAAAAGCAGTCAAACCCAGAGACTGCACTTAGTCCACAGCGACACCCACACTAAAAATGGTCATTACCATGAATGTACTTGGAAAGCTGTTTCTGTTATTTTGTTTTGAGACAGGGTTTCTCTGTATAGCCTTGGTTATTTTGGAACTTGTTCTATAGAGCAGGCCGGCTTCAAACTCAGAGATCAGCCTGCCTGCCTCTGCCTCCTGAGTGCTGCTGGGGTTAAAGGCCTGGCTTGGAAAGCTGGGTTTTTGTTGTTTTGTTTTTAATTTTAAAAGAGCCGCCTTAGAACACCCACACAGGGTCTCACTATATAACCCCGCTGGCCTGGAATTCAATGTGTAGACCAGGCTGGCCTTGAACTCACAAAGATCTGCCTGTCTCTGCCTCCCAACTGTGGGGATTAAAGGGCATGTCACCACGCCTATCTTTTGGAGAGGAATTTAAAGGGAACAACTGGAAATGGCGTCTGCTAGAAAGCGTGTCATGTATCTTCTCGGCCCTCCCAGCTAACAACCATTTTTCACACTATTTGCAAGGACAGTAATGATCTAATATTGTTTAATATTTTCTAGACTAGGTCTGCTATGTAGCTCAGGCTGGCCCCAATTTAAGCTCCTCCTTTAGAACTGGGATTATAGTGTGCAACACAGCTAGTTACCTAGTATTTGTTTATTTTTAAGATTTATTATTATGTATATAGTGCTCTGTCCACATGCATGCAAGCATACCAGAAGAGGGCACCAGATCTCATTACAGATTGTTGTGAGTCACCAATGGCTATAGGGAACTGAACGCAGGACCTCTGGAAGAGCAGTCAGTGCTCTTAACCTCTGAGCCACCTCTCCAGCTCTGTTAAGCAGTTTTTAACAGTAAATATTTCTCTCCTGGCAGTGCTGGGCTGTGGGTGCCAGGGCAGCACGCCCCTCTGGCTACTTATCCCCTCCTCCGACTATTCTTCTCTTCCTTGCTTGGCTTTGTTTGAAATCAATGTTCTTGCTCAGAGCTTGCCCAGGTTGGCTGCTCTTCAGTGCAGGATACAGAAGCTCAGCAGCCTTCGTGTGAGAGCCACTGATGACAGGGATATGGGCAGAAAAGCTGAGCACAGTGACGAAGGGAAAGGCCACCAGATGGCTTTGATTACCTAAACATGGACATGGGAGAAGTGATCTAAAAGCCACTAAGGAAACACTCCCAGTAGTCAGTTTACTGAGGCAGGGAATTAGTGGTAGATTAACTCCTGGGGTAGCTAGGCAGCCTGGGACATATTCAAGGCAAGGATCATTTCCAGAACCAAATAGAAGGGGGTGATTACCTCCTTCCCACCTCACTGTGCAACAACAAAACAGATTGACAGCTTATAGGTTCTGGCTAGTCATGCAGAAAACGTATGGAAAGGCTCTTTTCATAGCCTTCTGCAGCACAGCAGTCCCAGTGAGTCTAGGCCCCGGCCTGGAGCAGAGCCAGCTGGTGGCTGCAGGAGGCAGAGCACTGGCTACAGCAGTGGTCCTCAACCTGTGGGTCCCACAGGGTCACATATCAAATATTTATTACACTATGATTCATAACAATAGCAAAATTATAGATATGAAGTAGCAACAAAATAATTTTATAGTTGGAGGTCAGCACAATATGAGAAACTGCACTAAGGAGAACAGCATTAGGAAGGCTGAGAACCACTGCATGGTTCAACCTCCGGAGCAGGCAGCAACAGAACAGGACAAACACTGAAACTGAGCAAGGTGCTGTGGAAGCATCGCGTCTCCCTTACCATTTCCTCATCCAACACCAGGTGCCTGCAGACAACTGCCACAGACAGGGAAGGGGTAGGGTATGGTGAGGAAAGAAGAGGACAGACACCCTACTGCTGTCCCAGGGTGAGGAGGCCAAGAGGAGGTCGGGCAGAAAGTACAGGAAAGGATCCCAGAGGACTTCCTAGAAGAGGTAACAGTGGCACTGTCCTTAAAAGGCAGTGCTTGCCAGGTACCGATGGAAGGGCATGAAGGAAAATTCACTATGGAAGGGCTCCAAAGCAAAAAGAGCATGATGTGCTGGAGAGACAGGCAGAACACAGGGGTGGGGGCAGAGGCTTGACTGTGAAGAAGGCTAGCAGCATTGGCCCTGGAGTCCGCCCAGGGTCCTTAAAAGGTCTACAAGGAAAGAGGCATAGCTGGGAGACACGGCTCTCGTACCCAATGTCTGCTTCAGATTCTGAGCCTGTTTATTCCTAAACCACCTTCAAAATGCAACCTGGCAGGGAT